CCATGTCAGTGATCTTCTGACATGCCCTGTTACCATGGATATATGTCCTGAAAAGACAGCTCCAGACATCTTTACTTTGAAATTACCTCTGCGCAGTTTCCTTTTCTGATAAAAGTTTGGGTTTTCTGCCAAAGAAAAGGCCCAGAAGAAAGGAAGGAATCTCGTATAAAAACCTTTCTCTAAAAGGAGAAAGAATGTATTTTGAAGTCATTGAGTAAGCGCAATTGATGGCTCTAAAGGAATTTGGAATGGCTCTGCTTCAGTAATTAAAGAAGTTACTGATGTTGATATTAATAGAATAATTTTAGAGCTTAAGACAGAAAAAACTGAAAACATCAGGAAACAGATCATATCTAGAGATTTATAAAAATAAGCAAGCCCCTCTTAATCTTACCTGTATTTCAAGTCTTAGCAGAAGTCCAGACTTTTTTTTCTTCTTTTTAAAGTCCTTTTTAAGGGCTCCTTCTCTGAATTTTAAGCTGATGCTGGCTTGGGATTTTTTGGCTTTCAAATGTTTGTTTATTGAGTCAGCTAGTTTCTCGAAGCACCAGCATGCGAACGTCTGAACCTCAGCAGGCTCATATATATCAATGCTTAGTTATTAATTTCCCTAAGCAGTACAGCTATTTGCAACCTGCTGCCATATGGCTCGCTTCTCTCCTCATCTTCTGTGCACATTTTCATACATATAAACACATATGATACTCAATTTATTTAAAAATACCCTCAGCTTTCTCTGAATGTTTTCCTTAGCTGACAAAAATCATACACCCTGTTTCCTCTCAGGTATTTTAATGGGAAAAAAAAACAGCTTACAAAGCAGCACATCTTCCCTGTCTGGCTTTTGAAGCATTTCTGTGAATGTGGGCTCTGTGCTGTCATCACAGGAACTCTAACCCGCACCACAGCTAAAGGCACAAAAGTTGCCTCCATTAGAAAAGGAAGAGAGACATGGCCCAGAACATGCCGTGGTTCAGAAACTCATTTGTCTCCCAGGAGCCCATAGGGCCAGACCTAAGGATACATGCAACAGGGAGAATTAACAGCTTCAAAGAGAAAAATCATTACAGGTCAATCAGCAGCAATTTCAGTGATAAAGTGACTGAATTAGGATTCAGTGGATCTTACTTCTTTTCCCACAAAACCTCATTAGTTTTGATAAAAATAAACAGGCGTTACTCCCGCGTCATTTCTTCCAACTTGAAGCATCTGCTCAATACTTGACCTCTGAGATGTTTTAAGTTTGGGTATAATGCAATACTGAGGCATCAGATATTTAATACTTAGCAGAGGAAAAAAAGATTCATAACTGATGTTTTCACACAAAGCAGTTATCATGACATTACAACACATCTATGCCAGACTTAAGAGGTGTTTGCTTTTTGATGTGGGACAACATCATGCATGGGAAAACTTAAACAATAAACATGACAAACAAAAACAATCATACAGATTCCGAGAGGCCCTTGAATCAGGATTTCTTCACATTCAAGAACTTATTCCCAAGTGTAAATATGTGTTTTAGCACACAGCAAAATACTTATGCTTAAGGTCGGACTGCTGGCTTCACAACAGACAGACTCATGATCAGGTTAATGAGGTTAATGAAGAATCTATGTTTTGCTGTGTGTAAAAGATTACTCTCTGGAAATCACCCATCTTCCACAATACTTTAAGGCAGCATATAGGTGTGTGCATACGTAGGTGTAAATGAAAACACAAATGTGCACACACAACTCTTGCACATGCAGAATACAACTAATACATTAAGAAAAACTAGTGGATCATGTACATTCATCATAGCATAATAAAAGTGACTCTAAAATGATTTGATTTTTTAAAGTTGAGTTTCTTCTATCGTTCTTGACAACTCCTTGCAAGTGCCAATTTAATACTGTAATGGTTTATAAAAGATATTTTGCCTAGATCAGTAAAGATTATGGCTAAATATTTTCCAGGTCTACATCTGATGTTAATTATATCTATCATCATATTTTAATCAATACCCAGCTACCACATCATGATAAACAGCTTTGTTAAAAGAAAGTGATTTCTCAGAAGTAACTTAAACCTTTTTTAAAAGGGGAATTAAAAAAAAAAGACTCCAGCAAATGCTTCTCCAAACAAAGTAACACTAAACCTTGAGTCTGAATTTATCGACCAAAAACCTTAGTTGATACTTGGTTCTTCTCCCTCAAATACTGCAGCTAATTGTTTTTTGACCTTATTGACCCTTATCCATACTAGAAATGCAAACGCATTGCATGGGGAGGAGGGAAAACAAATCTCACCAAATCTCCAGAGAGCTGTTATGAATGGCATATAGGACTGGTAGCACAAAAAGTGTTAACTTAAAATACAAATTGTTATTACATGCTACTGTGTGATTGACTGCAGGCTTCAAATTCATCTAATCTGCATAACAAGAACAGAAACTATAAATTGACAGAAGGCAAGGAAATTCAGAAGTTATAGTGGTAATAACATCCATTACAGAAACAAAGCACAACAAACTGAAATATAAGCATTGACCTTATTTGTTACTTTCACAGGGTCTGCTCTTCCGTTAACGAGCAGCCACTTTTGACACAGGACATATGTACGGACCAAATCCTTCCTCTTTTCCTTCACTTGCCTGCAAAATGCACCCCTGGGTTGAGGGAGAAGGAAGCGCAAATCTCCCACCTTCTTCGATCTAGAAGGGTATGTCCACATCATTTGGATCTTGTACACGATGACGACACAGGATAAGAGGATGCAGTGTGCACTGCAACACAGGAATACACCTGAATACTAAGCAACTCCCTGTTTACTACCTCTGTAAATTTTGATGTTGGCAGATCTGGGCCATGAAAAAGATTGCATGGGGGTTCTCAATGAAATGAACAGGGAGTGCAACAGTGCACCTTACAGTGCAGACTTCACCCCAACAGAAAGCTCCTCCATGTAACAACTATTATTTTAGAATCATAGAATAGTCAGGGTTTGAAAGGACCTTAAGATCATCTAGTTCCATCCCCCTGCCATGGGCAGGGACACCTCACACTAAACCATCTCACCCAAGGCTCTGTCCAACCTGGCCTTGAACACCACCAGGGATGGAGCATTCACAACTTCCCTGGGCAACCCATTCCAGTGCCTCAACACCCTTACAGCAAAGAACTTCTTCCTTATATCCAATCTAAACTTCCCCTGTTTAAGTTTTAACCCATTACCCCTTGTCCTGTCACTACAGTCCCTAATGAAGAGTCCCTCCCCGGGCATCCCTATAGGACCCCTTCAGATACTGGAAGGCTGCTAGGAGGTCTCCACGCAGCCTTCTCTTCTCCAGGCTGAACAGCCCCAACTTCTTCAGCCTGTCTCCATATGGGAGGTGATCCAGTCCCCTCATCATCCTCATGGCCCTCCTTTGGACTTGTTCCACCACTTCCATGTCCTTTTTATGTTGAGGACACCAGAACTGCACATAATACTCCAGGTGAAGACTGACGAGAGCAGAGTAGAGGGGCAGGATCACCTCCTTTGACCTGCTGGTCACACTCCTTTTGATGCAGCCCAGGATACGGTTGGCTTTCTGGGCTGCGAGTGCACACTGAAGCCAGATCGTGTTCATTTTCTCATCAACCAGCACCCCCAAGTCCTTCTCCGCAGGGCTGCTCTGAATCTCTTCTCTGCCCAACCTGTAGCTGTGCCTGGGATTGCTCTGACCCAGGTGTAGGACCTTGCACTTGGCATGGTTAAACTTCATGAGGCTGGCATCAGCCCACCTCACAAGCATGTCAAGGTCCCTCTGGATGGCATTCCTTCCCTCCAGCGTATCAACCGAACCACACAACTTGGTGTCATCGGCAAACTCACTGAGGGCGCACTCAATCCCACTGTCCATGTCAGTGACAAAGATGTTGAACAGGACCGGTCCCAACACTGATCCCTGAGAGACACCCCTCGTTACTGGTCTCCAGCTGGGCATTGAGCCATTGACCACAACTCTTTGCATGCGGCCATCCAGCCAGTTCTTTATCCACCGAGTGGTCCATCCATCAAATTGATGTCTCTCCAATTTAGAGACAAGGATGTCGTGTGGGACAGTGTCGAATGCTTTGCACAAATCCATTTTAAGGAATTCATTTTTATTTTTCAATTTTGTTTCAGTAGCATAGGAAGGATGCATATTTGAAATTAAGAGAAATCCTTTAAAATAATTAAAAAAACCCTTTATTAATAAAGCTAACATTTTTTCCATTTTTTTTTAAACTAGTAAAGAATACATGATACATTCCAAATACACAACCAAGGAAAACACTGAAAAAGAATATTAGAAATAAATAATGCAAGTCTATAAAGGCCAACAGTTTTCACAGAAATTCTGTAAATCAGACTGCGATTGGGACCTCTCAGGAAGTACTGGGTCTTAAAATGTAAGATTTCAAGAATAAAAAACTGAAGTAAGGTTCTCAGAAAACCACCTCTTTTAAATAGCCACTTCCATACTTTGTATAAGCCTACATTAATACACTAAACAAATTAAGGCTTAAAATTAAGTGTACACAGAAATGGAAATGCTGATAGGAAATGCCTCCCTGTGGCTCGCAGCCATTTAATTACGGTAACTTGCTGTGCAACATACATGCAAGGTTCCTCGAGGCAACAAATCTTTTAAATAATACAATAACCTTAACTCTCACAGAAAGCAAAATAGAAGAGAGACTATCTGACATTCCCTTTCCAACAACACCGTGATTGCAATAGATGACTTACATGGGATAAAGGGCTGAACTTCTTGCCCATGTTCAGTTGTTCTCAGGAGCAAACAAGAACTCCCTTGAAACAGATACTCATTTAGTCATTCCATATCATAATTCCACCTCTGTGTTTTCTCTTTTTGCAGGACACAGCAGAAGTTTCCAGATATCACCCACAGCAAGAAGACTTTAAGAAAGAACTGCTGAAATTCTTCATCTATACTGAAGCTGCCTGCAATAGACCTGAGGTGACAAAAATCCTCCTTTATTCCTGCATTCCCCAAATAACACATAGTGTTCCTAACTCTGTGTTCCCAATGATTAAATCTCAGGTTACTAAGTAATATTCATATAAATCTATGAGCACTTTATGTTGCAAAGTAATCATCTCTATAAAACTTTTTTTGATGGAGCTCTGCATGAACTCTACCACCTTGTTTGACATTACTGCCCAACAATGACAATGTAGATCCAAACCAGACACGGAACAGTAATACATTCACTGAGCCTTTTTAAAAAACATTTTCAAGTCAGTTAAAAACAACAAAACCAAACAAACCAAACCAACAACCAAACACCAGAATGAGAAGGGAAGGTCTGCAAATCAAAGTCTGTTTTAACTTACGCAGGTAAGAGTAAGGACAAACTTGTCAATATTGGATATACAATACTGCTACATGGAGGAGGAAAATCAGGTTCCTTGAAAAGCTCCTGCATTTGGAGGCATTTTTGCAAGCCAAAACTGCTTGTCTCCCTCTTCAATTCTCACTACATGATTTAATAATTTCACTGACACAAGTCTGGAGAATTTACAGGAGAGTCAAAACAATCACAACTAAGAAACTGCTAGTCCATAAAAAAGGAATGCTTATTTTCCTCGCAAGTAGATTCTTACAGAAGTCTGAAATAATACTGGAGGAGATGCACAGTTAGGCCACTTGTTACAACTGTGTCTGTCTCAGTAATCCGTGGCTGTCTCAGTACTTTGGTACCACAGATCCCAACAGCTTTCCTGCCAGTACACAACATACGAGACATTCTTTGCTACGGGGTTGTAAGCTAAACATGAATAAAAGAATGCAAAACACCCCAGGGTGGAGCTGTCACAACTGACCCATTTTTGGTTTAACTGTATTGACAATGCCAATTTAAAATAAAACTAATACCACCCAATGGGTAATCACACTGACCCTTACTTTGCTTCAGGAAAAAGCTACTAAAAGCTATTCAGTGTCTCCTGAAATAGGAAGAAATTTCACTGCAAGCATTAAGTCCCAAGTCAATAACCTAAATCTGGATATGCAATGAAATAATTCCATTTGAATTAATTGCCTGTATAAGAAACAAAATACTCCATTCATTCCATTCACATTTCACTTGATGCTACTGAATATTGAAATATTAAATAATTTTTTTTTGCCAACAGCATTGGAATTTGGGATTTCTTTTCCTTACGATACACACTTCTTTGTACATTGTATGCCTGCAACTCAAGGCTTTATCCTTTTTATCTGACTTCTTTTTTCATAGGTAAACAGTGGCATTTAAAAACAGAAATGAATTCTCAAAACTCGCAAGTATGGGAAACAGTTGGAAAAAATAATGCATAAATCTATCCACCTATGCAGTAGCAGCTTCTGAAAACTGCTTTGAGAAAGCTGTTAGTGCAGAAGACATCTTCCCATAGATCTGAAAAAGCTTACTTCAGAGACAGCCAAGTTGAAAAACTTTCTATTTTACAGATAAATTTTAATGAAAAATTTTGATTCCCCTGTAAAATACCCCTTTTTAAGCTTCAGCAGATAGTTCTGAACTTCTCAGAGCATTTACCTTGCCAGCTCTTTAACAAATCGTTAACATAAACTGAAGCAGAATATACTGAATAATTATTTTCCAGAGTTCACCTTTATTAAAAACAAGGTTTTTGTTGTGAGAACAAATAATCTCTCACTTGTAGCTTGAAAGCCTAAGATAGGATCATTGGCTTCCAGGGTTGTTACTAGCTGCTTAGCAACCTGTCCAACTTGTCTTCCTTCCTTCCTGTTGTACAGAACTGTGGCCAGAGGAGTTGGCTGGCGATAGATGAAAACTCGTCGTAAGCACTCACAGAGAGCAGCGTAGGAATAATCTGGAGCACAAGCCATGAACTTCTTGTCTTGCTTTGATGCTTGGACGTAACCTGCATAGCCCAAAAAGAAGTAGAAAAGCTCAGTAATATATTAGTTTCACCAGCATTTTAACTGGCTAAGAAAAAATCAAGCTTAGCTTAAAAAATAATAATGCAGTTAGAAACAAAAAAACGAGAGAGAACTATGTTGTTATTTAATAAGCCAATAGGTTTTGGAGGTCTGCAGTGGCCAATTTAATACCAATACATCTTCCCAACAGGTGTTTCTAATGCATGTGTGTGTACAGCTAGATACTGCTCCCACATCTAGCTTCTCTCCGCCTCACAAGGTCTTCGATTTTCTCAGCAGAATCATAAATCATGGATACACAACGTGACCCAATATTACTAGCCTAAGCAGAATAACCCTCTTCTCTCCCCTGATCTCCCAGTTTATAATTACATTTACAGTTTAAGATTCCTGAGCCTACCTAATCTTGAACAGGCACTTGGAACTTCCTTCAACTTAGAACTGCGTGCTTTTCAACACAGTCACCTTTGTTAATGTTCACTAAGAAGAAAATCTTTCCTTGCCTCTGCCATTACAGAACTCAATTAGTAAACAGATGTATTTTAGACCAATTTCCTTTCACACTTTCATAAAGGGACTTGAGACACAGTCTTTGTAAAGCGGTCTACCTGATCACTTTAGATCAGGTCAGATATTCTTCCTGAAAGGTTATCTGCTTAACTTCCATTGAACAATGCATGGCAATGGTTATCACTGAAAGACAGCATCTCTGAGAACAGCACGCGTGCCAAAGCTTACTTTTTTTTGGCTCTCTCTCTTCACTTACTATCAGAAGGTAAAGGTGAAAGTACTTGTACTGGAGCTGGCTGGGATGCGGCTAACTTTCTTCACAGCAGACCTCAAGATACTGTTTTGAATTTGTGACTAAAACCCAATTTTGATCCAACAGGATTTTTTGGCTGTTGCTGAGCAGTGCCTGCACATTGTCACCATTGCTGTTTTTGAAGCTCTGCCTGCCCCCCAGTAGTCTGGGGATGCATAAGAAGTTGGGAGGGAACACAACCAGGACAGCTGACCCAAAGAGCTCAACCCAAGAATTTCTTGCTTTTGCACTTCCTGTTCTCTCTTGTGTCCCACTGTGGGTAGAGAGGGGAATAGGAAGAGCAAGCAGCTCTGTGGTGCTTAGGTGTCCACCTGGGCTAACCCACAACAGGACCATCACACTTCAACATGCATTTCATGCCTTGAGGTTATTATGGTTGTTCTTTTGTTGTTGTTTGGTTTGGGGTTTTTTTGCTTGTTTTGTGGTTGGGTTGTTTGTTTTCTTTAATGTTAATCTGACTTCTAAATTTACAAATGCTTGCTACTGTCCTCAAAACACCATCTCTGTTCAAAGCCAGCTTGACAGTTTTCACCACAAAACAACTAGTAAATATATAGCTAGACTATCAATTGACATGATTGCCTGTAGTGGGAAATATCAGGACAGCCAGAAAAACTTTCCAACTGTAAGGTTCGTTAATTTAACTCATACATTTAAACACTGGCAATAACAGTAAAAGCAGGATTTAAGGTAGGATTGCAGGTAAAAGAAGCTTCTGAGCCAGGGGACTTGTATTTAAATGGAATTTGCCAGAAAAAAAAATGGTAAGCTCTCGATTTATGTTCATTAATAATACTTAAAATATTAATTTTTCACTCATCATCTTTGTATAGCTTGTTAAAGCTAATTCCAAAGGTTCAAGCAGAAGGAGGAGGAAAAAAGGGCTACTACCATTGCTTTGGTCAATATAGTGATTATGGTAGGTTTTCAAAAACTAGCACTCACCTTTTAATCTAGAAAATACTAATTTTTACTAATAGCTCTTTCGAACTACTTCTGAAATTGGCTGCAGAGAAACAAGCTGATGACCTACATCACCTCTGGCACTTAAAAGGTGAACTAGATTAGTACAGAAGTGTAAACTTCTATATAATACTGTAAAATGATAATACAATAAGGAGAAAAAGGTAGAGGGCAATGTTGTTTTTTGCCACCTTAGTTACAAAAAGCTCGAAGATACCATAATTTCCTTCCTGTCATTTTCAAAACAGTAGAAACACATTCTTAAAACAGTAAGATGGAGTCAGCCCAGAAACCTGAAACTAATAGTAACTGGAAAAAAAAAAAAATCTTAATCCTTGTGATCGCTTTTTTCCCCCCACCATAATGAAACCTGAAATGAGTAAACAAAGAACAAATTGTGAAATTACTCTGTCATTAGAGGATTTGTTAAGGTGCTTACAGTTTAATTTGATCTTAAGTTAAAATAAACAGTTAAAATCAATTATGTGTTATGGCAACCTCTGTGAGCTCTATAAAACAGCCAGTAACTTCCCTTTCATTTTGGACCCAGACTGAGTGTGGTGTGGTCAAACAAATGTATCTAGGGAAGGGAGGGAATAAATTGTCACACTCATTGCATTATTGAAGGGATAGGTATAGGGAACACTTAGAGAACATGAAGACTGTAAATGCCACAGCAGAAGTAAATTCTGGATCAGATTAATTTTCATGAAAACTGATTTATCTGTTTCTTACTCAATAGGTACAATACTGGTCTACATGGAGCATTCTATTTGATCAATTCCTACTTTTGCATCTGTATTTTGCAAAGTACCTTCTGCTTCTGACCTTTAGGATTCTGCCTCTAACAGTGGGTGAAAACAAATTCTTAGTCCTGAGTGCAAGAATACATCAATAATTCTTCACAATCACATTTTCTGCTTTTCTGGCAGTCTGTAATTTCAGAAGATGCTAGGGGCTTCTTGAGCCACAGCTAGCACAGTTATACTCTTGACTGATCTTTCCTGTCACAATGACTTTTTTTTTTTTTTTACTTTGAAGTACCATGCTTGCATCCTGTATATGGTCTGAAAAGGCTTATTTTCCTCCCAAGGCATAAACATTTTATTTCTTATGTTCTAGTATTTTAAAATTAAGTTACTATGCTACTATCAACAGAATTATATTACCCTTCATTCAAATGTAAGTGAAATATCAACATACTAGGAGTACTGAGGTAGAAAAGTTTCAGATACAGGAGTGTGACACAGAAGTTTACTTCCTACCTAAAGCATTAAAAGTTGCAATGTGCTCCCACATGTTCTCTGGTTGGTCAGAGTGGGGCTGCCAGAGAAGAGCATCAACATCATGCCTCAGGCAGAAGCATGGCATTTCTTTAGGATCCACAACAACTGAGAAAAGATACTGGTTGCTTCCAAGATTAATCTGAAACAAAACAAAGAAACACAAAACACTGACTAAAAGGATAAACAGCAGACTCTTTCCCACATACTGCCCAAGTAAGATGATCAGCAGCTTCATGTCTGTTAGTTGACAAAATGTTTGAATACATTATGTGCATCCCACTGATCAACAGCTCAATACACTACAGGTAGCTAATATATTTCAAGCAGACACAATTAAGTTTCTTGGGATATTATTTAGGGAAACATTATGTCCACTACATAAACAAATGAGAATGTGTTCTGTGTAGAAATGGCTTCCTAGGATAGAGGATCTTGACTTCTACTGTTAGGAAAATATTCAAAGTAATCATGCCTGGTTTTCAGCAGTGCCACCAGGGAAAGAAATGCAGTAGTTTAAGCTAAGTTACTCAGAACTTTATTCAGACTGGTCTTGAAAACCTCAAGGATAGAGGCTGCACAATCTTACGAGGCAACCCAATCCATCCTACAATTATAGTGTAAAAGCTTTTCCTTCTATCCAGTTTGAACCTCTTGTTCCTACTTCTGCTTGCTGCCTTTTGTCTTCTTACTATGCATCACTGGACAGATAAAATCCATTTGAAGAGAGTTGCTTTAAAATGTCCTCCTACCAATTACAGATTTTATTTTATATGTTACCTATCACACTATCCACAAAACACACGACTTACTTAGCGGAGCATGCTAGCCTTTAAAATTAAACTTTATTTCTCTAGCAGCACAGATTCATGTGCAGGCATATATACACGTATATATACATACACACACACACAGGGAAATATACATATTTATCCATACTGCCAAAAGAAAAAAATACATATTTATATTTTTTAAGGAAAAGAACAAACCAAGATCTGTAAGACACCAACTTCAGACTTCTTCCAGAGCTTTTCAGAGAAAAGAGGAAATTCTGAGACAATTCAAAATCTTATCCCTTAACTAACATATTTTCTGCACAAGACGTTATCCTACACTTTGTGTGACACAAAGTAGTGATGAGATGTAACACCAATGTTCATTACAAGCTTAGTAGAGACATCTTGAAAAAATCCCCCAACAACCCCAAGATGACAACTTAACCTGTGATGATTTCATAGCACTATTTTGTTTCCTGATTTAGCCAATGGACCAGATGATCAAGTCCTAACTTGCTTACAACCCAGATTAAGCCTCATATTGAAACATTTTTCCTACAATCTGTTATTTCCAGTGATTGACAAAGAATTATTGCAAAATGATCTGTACTCTACCTCCATAGTGAAAAGGGTCAACTTTCTATCAGGCTAGCTGCAAAGTTATTGAAAAAAATGTAAGCTAAGTAATCTATAACTGTTTTATGCCACTGAAAATGACCCCTTCCTTTTAATTATTCTGACATAACTTTGCTTTTTCGAATGGTTCACTTGTGAAAGTAAATATATTTTTAAAACAGAATAAAGAGAGCCTTGTTTTTCCATTAAAATGACAGTGAAGAACACATACTGCTTCATAATTTCTGTTGCTACTTTGATTTACATTATGGAAGGAAACTGCGGTTTCAAGAGTTTCACAGGTTTTGTTCCAATAACAGAATTCAACTTGCTTATCATTAAAAAATGTTTTAAAGTATTTCTGTAATAATCTGCAGCACTTACTACATGAGTGATTTTCAAGGTATCACCATCAAATCTGCACAAGCTTGCACTATCTTCAAGAAAAGCATCACATTCTTCTAATTCTTGAGCATTACAAGGTGGGTTTTCCTTCTCAGGGTTTGGATTCTGAAACAAAAAGACAACAATACGCACTGAAAATCCAAGCTACTGAATATATATATAAAAATATCTTTTCATAACAAAAAAGATCAACAGAACATGAAGAATTATTTGCATATACTTAAAGATCAAGCTACTACGTACTTAAACCAAATGAATGGAACAATTTTTGTTATGAACGACAGCATGTAGGTAATACAAAAATCAATTTCAGTTCAAGGAAAGTCACATATGCCACTAAAACACAGACAATGAATTCCCTTCTGTAAGTAGCAAAAGGATACAATCCTGAAAACCTACACAGGTTTATTAAGTTTACATCAGTGTAAGCTTCTTTCAGCTTGCCACTGGAAATGCTATTAAAAAAGTCATGTTGTAGGTACCTCTAAATACATACCTCTTTTTAGCTTTGCTAATAATTATTTAAAATTAATACCTTTTTATGCATATTTTTAATGCACTCAAACCAAGAAAGAAGCACATGTATTTTTTCACATCCCACAAGTTGAAGAAAGGAAAACCCATGACTTTTACTACTAATTAAAGGGTAAGAACACAACTACATAGAGAAACAGCCTACTTCTGCTAATGACTTATTGGATAATTTTCGAAACAACCACGTTTTCAAAACAACTAGGTTACCTTTGTGATCTATTTCAAGAACTAATTTCTTGATAACAGAAAGGGACCTTTATTTAACAGAAGGCAAAAATATACACTTCCTCATCAAGTATAAGTTCATGTTGCTTCTTGTCCAGGAAAAAAGACCCCATCTAGACAACTAATATAAGCTGAAATCTGAAGCCTAACAGAATGTGTATGGGAAGATCAGAGATGGCACTGACTCAATTCATCTGACAGGGAGTTCTGAGTTCCTATGCTCATTTCTTCCTCCACTTCAGCTGATTATTAACTTTTTATTTTAGTTCAGTTCACAAAGTGAGGGAGATCACCACAATTTTTTTTAATTGCTAAACAATTTAAACCCAAAGAAAACAAAGATGAAGATAATAAAGAAACGTCTTTAAATGGCAGAAACCAGAAAAAATTAAATGTCATATACAGCAGGCTAACACACAAGACTTAAAACAGGGAATCTGTCTCTTTGGAGGCTAGATTTAGGGGGTCAGCTCTCCTCTATCAACATTCTTGATGGCCCCTGGTTTCCTGTTTCACTGGGTAGCTTTTTAAAAAACCTTCCCAGGTAAATATCATTACCACAAGCAATTTGAGGTCCAAAAAGAATCTATGCTTTTATTATACGTGTGTAGCTAAAGTTGCAGAAAATATACAACATTTATGTAAATGAACCTACGACTATTTTTTTTTACATGATCATTATTGCAAACAAGCTGAAAAGTTGTGACAAAAAAATAATTACCATCACTTTAAGCTCAGTATGAGTTACAAAGAAAACAAATGTGAAGTTCCCAGTTAAGTCTCTGGTCTAAAGACGTACTACAGCAGCATCTTACCCACAAATAGTGAGGGAGAGAGAGAAATCAATTTAGAGCACTCAACAGAATTTATTTTAATAACACTTTTCAGCCTTATTAAAAAAAAGTAATAATCCAGAAGCAATATATCAAGGCCCACAGGGAGTCACACTTCACAAGCTTTAGATGAGATGCCATTTTCTATTTAAACCAAAAGTGAAAGTATCAAGCAAGCAGCAGTTAAAAATTACATTTTATTTTAAGTCTCCCTGTACAACAATAATGCCAGAAAGTTCATGAATCATACTTCTGCCTTCATAAAGTTTTCCTTTCAAAAATGTCACCTGCCTTCACAGCCTGTAAATCAAATACAGTATCCCTAGGAAGACAGTATAAAAGTGTTGCTAACCTATTGATAAACAAGAAACAGACATCCTTCAAAATCACTTAAATCAACCTTAAAAAAAGCTGCCACACTGTAAGTGATGGAAACAAAATTTATTTTCAATACTAAATCAAGTCTCTCGTTTTGGTGCACAGACACTATCACGGAAGCTAAATTCCGTCCTCCATGAGCATATTGCTGTTCAAAGTATATTCACAACTCAAGTGCCATTACATTAACAACTTCAGTTAAAAATGAATGCAGTTAGGATTCTGAACAGTAACCGAACCAATAAGCTATGTTAATGAAGTGCAAATAATGATATCAAAAGACAACATGCAAATGTACAAGAATTACAAGTGTTTTATTTTCAACTCCTTACCATTACTTCAGAGGTAAGATGCATCAGGCTTTCAGATATTTCAGAGCATTGTGAAGAGTCCATAATGAATTCCCCTCTTGTGTCACCAACTATTAGCTCTGGCCACCGGGGTCCCTCATTTTTCTTAATTAGAGAAATTTCCAAACTAAAATGCAAATAGAAGACAAAGAGTACTAATGAAAACACTGCATCCAGTTCTCAGACTAATAATCAAAAAGCTCTAAATACAGATTTGAGCACTCCAAACTGAGTTAATAATGAAAATCATATAACAAAATCATTAGTATTCACTTTATAAAACAAACTATTCTAATGGAAAATATTCTAAAGGAAAACAGACCAAGGACACATGATTTCTAAAAGCCTAAGAATAAAGACACTGTATTCATGCAAGTGTCCCTAAGAGTTTTTGATGTAGATGCAGTTTTCCCTGAAGCAGTCTTATTAAAATATTTTAAATATTACAAGGAGATGTCCTGTAAAGAAATCTGTTCAAAGAGTGACAGTTTATTTGAAACCCAAGTACTACTTAACAGGGCTACTTAAGTATGAACCACCTTCATAAAACATCTAGGACAAAACCACTTGTATTTTATAGGCATCAAATACTACAATAATTTATTATCTACATTGCGTATCTAAAATCATGTCTCAGAAGATACAATTTATGTAACCTGCAAAACAAACCAACAACAAACTTAGGAGAACCTGGTACGAATGTTAGGAATAACTAACTAAACAAACAGAAAACAAGAGACAGAGCCCAATGCATCAATACAGCAATTCCATTTAATTACTGCATCAGACCAACACATGGATATAACAATAGAATGTTAGTTTTATTATATTCACTTCTAGATATACTCATAGGGCCTACAATGACAGTCTGTCACCTGACAGAAAAGGAAAACCTTCTAAGTTATTAATTACTATATTGCAGCAATAACTATTCAGTGAATGCTGAATCAACTTTCTGAGGCAGTTGCACTGGTATTAGAAGCAGCATACTTCTACAGAAGATACTTGGAGGAAGTTTTATTCTTTTAATCAACAGATTTAAAGTGGTACTGCAGTACCAACATTAAGAATCAAATGCAATTTATTACATTGAAATGTGTATTTACTGTTTTCCATTAAAACAGAAGCCTGACATTCATGCATTGCTCACTTGACTAAGTAATAAAAAAAGAGAATTACTCAGCTGAGTTATTTTTCACTATGATACCTAATACTCAAGAACTGAAAAGTCATATTTTAGTATACAGTATTAGTATAAGCTATATACTAACATTAATCCCTCTAATTCTTTCGGACATTTGCTATCAATAGGAAGACTAAACCCCATATACAACACCTTTTGTTCTCTCTAATTATCCATGTGCAGCTTTCGTGGTCCACAGATGAATACAGTTTTCCTTCCATCAAGGGAGGCTGATCTTTCAGTATAACACATATGGTATCTGGGGAAAAGCGTACTTTTATGTCATCCTTAGTGATGTCTTCAGGAATGTGCACTGTTATTGTAACATCATCTTCAGTCTGCTGCCAGTAATAGAGAGGGTCTGCACTTGGAAAGATGCAGAATAATACAAACTAGATTACAAATGCTGTCCTGGATTCCAGTGTGCAATACTAGAAGATACAAAATAGAAGTTTGTGAAGAGTGGAAATTAACTTTTACTCTGAACAACTGTCCTGGGTTCCGCTGTAGCAGTCATTTTTCTCCTTCTCAGTAGCTCGTGCAGTGCTGTGTTTTTGACTTTCAGCCTGGGAACAGCGCTGATAACACCGATGTTTTTAGCTGCTGCTCAGTAATGTTTACTCTGACCAAGGACTTTCTGAGTCTCATGCTCTGCCAGGAAGGAGGGGAAACCGGGAGGAAGCAGAGACAGGACACCTGACCCAAACTAACCAAAGAGGTATTCCATACCACAGCACGTCATGCTCACTTTATAAACTGGGGGCAGTTACCCAGAAGGGTTAGATCACCGCTCAGGTTGGGCTGGGTATTGGTCAGTGAGTGGTGAGCAGTTGTATTCTCTTCCCTTGTCAGTTTGCTTATTATTATTGGTGGCAGCAGCAGTGGTTTGTGTTATACCTTAGTTACTGGACTGTTCTTATCTCTACCCATGGGAGTTACATTCTTTCGATTCTCCTCCCCATCCCTCTGGGAGAGGGGGAAGGAAGGGGGGGGAGTGAGAGTGCAGCTGCATGGCTGACTGAATTTAAACCATGACAACAACTTAACATAAAATATATTCTTATTATAAAATGGAGAAACAGTTTTTAGCAATCGAGTTAATTTCTGTCCCTTTTCTGGAGAGCATTTTATACTCATGTCTATACTCAAACATGCTGACATGCTATATAATAAGCTATTACTCTAATTTTATTGTAGCATTACAAAATTGATAATCAAAATGTACTCGAAATACATTGAAACATTAATGATTAATAATTTGAAGAGATACGAGGTGCAGTGGTACTGACAAGCTACCACATACTCAGAAGTATATGCCATTCAAAAACGTGAACATTTTTTCTCACCTATTTTGCCAGAAGCTACACTGACTATTCAACAGAAATAACTTTAGAAAACCAAATGGTCTTCATCTGCCCCAGTTGATGAAATAAAGCTGCCTGCCCAAGAGGTAACAACTGACTTCTGCTCCTGAGCATAGAATCTGTCTGATGTCTATCTTGATAATTAAACTGCTACAAGAAGAGGACTTTTAAGAGAAACATTTATACAATAGGAAAGCGATGACAGCATTAACTGGGTAATGCACAGTTGGTCACAGAAAACGCAAGATGCATTCATTTTCTAAGAAGCAATCTTGTACATGTTACCTTCCTATTTAGAAGAAAATTAAAGTATGGATAGACCCTTTAGATGCTCTTAAGTTACCACAAGACAAGATTTCACTGATCAGCATCAGCAACTCTGACCTTGGAAGGATTCTTACACTGCTGCCCCTTACCACAAATTTCATGTTTGCAATGGATCAGCCACACTTCCCAGAAACAATTAGTATCTGAGATAAGACAACCTTCAAAATTCTAAACTTTGACACAGATTACATAAAATACTAAAAGTTTTGATTTATGAGACAACTGAATTGCACCTAAAAAGTAGCTCAGACTTCTCACCTCTCTTAAATAGGTATTAAAACTTTCCCCTGAACTAGGAGTTCAGGTTTCAGTACTTTCTGTACCATTAGATTTCTGTGCCACAAGAAATTTTCTACAGGTACTGCTGCAAGCAGTATTCCACGTTACAGGTATCTGGGCTTTAGCAACACTGTATGTGCGCAGCACAGCTCATTTCACGCATGTCTAAGAGCCATACAGAGCTCTTTACTGTGTTTCTTTAATCACACCTACCACACAACTCAAGCCCTTAAAATCCTTAAAACACTGAACTAACTAATTCAGGTGACAACTGCAGAGACACTGCATTATGGTCCTCAGTGCACTGAAGAACTCCTTTGCCTCAAGATTTATACCTACAGACTATTCCTATTACATGTACAATGTCACAGTTGTCACACCGTGCAACATTTATACATTCCAGAAAATAGATCTTTTTATATTGTTTCCAAACAGGTTTTTGCACCATGGACAAAGATTGTGGCAGTATCACTCACTTAGGATTGGCTCATTAACTAATAATGCCTCATATTCAGAAGCAAAATCAAATCTGAAATGACAGAGCTACATAAATATATATATTACAGAGCTCAGTGATAATTATGATAAACCAACTTTATTAATAAGGTTTTATTTCATTTTGCTTTGATCTTAAAGGAAAAAAAGCATGGATAATTTTTGTTGAAGTTTATTATTTTTTCCTGAACTGCTTTTTCACTGGAGAAATGAATCTTTTACAGGATTCTCACTCTTTAAATAAGTTTGAGTTTTTCTTTTGTTTTGTTTCAGGTTTTCTGTTTGTTTGCTTAGCTTTTGGTTTTGTTGTTTTTTTTTTTAGGGGGAAAGGGAATCTAACCCAAGAGACAGAGCAGCCTATCACAATCTGCCAGGTAAGTCTTACCTTTCTTTTCCTTTGTTGCTTCTGCCTCATCATTTTCTTCTGATTTGTTGTCTTCACCTTGCATAAATTTGAATGGTTTGTAAGAAACAATCATTAAACCATCCCCACTTGGCTCTATTGCTGCATAATGGGGGACTGATTTTCCTTGCAAAACTCTCCTTTTCAAGATTTCATATCTGTGATCACCTATAAAATAAATTAAAAAAATATCCTACTGGTAATATTTTTCTAGATGGCAAATTATTATACAAGAATCTCATTACACTGAAATATACCAACCAAACCTACCAATTAATTCACAGTACTGTAGTTTAAAAAGAAATTTCTCTTCTGTTTTCCAATGAGTTTGTTAAATATGTAGACCCTAAAATTAATCTAACTAATCTAAAAGAACAGAACATTGCCCCTTTTTCTTATGAGGTCTTTGTTAATCACAGCTAAAACCAGCAATTAAACAAAACCACCCACAGCCTCTGCACAAACAAATTTTCCAAATACTCATTTTGTTCCATTCTTCACTGTGAGGCCCTGGCACAGGTTACCCAGAGAGGCTGTGGCTGCCTCATCCCTGGTAGTGTTCAGGGCCAGGCTGGACAAGGCCTTGAGCAACCTGCTCTGCTGGAAGGTGTCCCCACTTGTAGCAGGGTGTTGGAATTAGATGAGCTTTAAGGCCCCTTCCAACCCAAACCATTCGGTGATAATTTCTGAGCTGTTAGAACCAGAACAACAGTGATATGCTAGTGGTAACACTTTCTTCATAATGGAAAATGCCCATGCCCATCTTTTTCAACTTTAGCAAAACACTGCCCTTTAAAAGGTCCCAGATGTTAGCTACTGGCATCAAGGACCATGCCATTCCCTACTGTGCACCAAAGCTCATGAGTACTGATGACTCAAAACATCATGAAGAGGGCAGGTTCCAGCACAATGTTTGTTCTTTTTCCATTAGAATCCTACTACACACAGAGTCCTCAGTAATTGATCAACTTCTGAATAATAACCAGATGGCACTAATGGATTTTTAGCAAAAACCAACTTCATTAAATTCTCACAAGTGATAAAATTATCCCTAGGAATTATTTAGTTTTTCATGTTTATGCTTCATCTCTTCATTAAAAAAAAAATATCACTGCACTTGTAAATACAATTTTACTTGAACTTGTAACTCACTAGGACAAGAACAGATTACGATGATAGAAATCATCTATGACACCAGCACTCAAAAGTATGTTCCTGTTTGACCTCAATGTTAAGCTTAAGAGAAACATGGAAGTCGTAGAATACAGATAATAATGGAAAAGCCAGATGTAACTTATGTCTTCTCAGCTGGTTATCTTGTTTGCTAAGCAAGCAGGGTGGAGAGTAACAACCAAACTATAACGTAATTCTGGTACTTAATGGTGCTAGGGCCCCCCTCCTTCTTCCTAAGATGTTAGGGCATGGCAGGCGTATTAATTAAAGAGATTCAACCATCCAATTAGTTAGAGATCTATACAACCAGGAGATTCCAAGCAACAGAGTAACCTGCTTTAAAAGATTAACATATTACTTTGTCTTAGATATATGACGAAAGAGAACATGTCTTTGCTGTAGTGAGAAGTTAGCCACTCATTGTACGAGCTGTTATTTGACCGAATTTAACTGTGTACTGAAACACATCAAAATTGTTTGTGTCTCTTACAGCACATGCTCACTTGTTAAAAGGCATCACAACCTCTCAACTTGACATTGTGTGACCAAACCTCTTGTGGAGCATTTTCAAACAACCTCCAACACTTCCAATTTTTTTTAAGTAAGTCTTTGTCACCTTTTGGGTAAATTCACAGTACATGATTTTTCCTGTAAAGAAGGTCAGAAGGAAGCTAAGCATTTAGCTTTTTGTTTTTTCTTAGACTTCTAAGACAAAAACTAAAAGCATGATTTATTATTTTTAAAAACATTAGTCGCCAGTAATATAAATGTAAAAGACTTACCCTCTTTGCTTATCTCTGCAATTGTAACCCATTCCAAGGTAATATGAAATCCACTTCCTTTTGTGTCCAATTCATCTTTTTCTACCCTAAGCAGCAGCACAGCTACTGAATGAGTATCAGATTTTACAAATGAAACACTGTGTGTGATAGTAAATGGATTTCCTAGTTCTTCATTAAACACAATCTAGAAGACAAAAGTGTAGTATAAAGTCAGTTGGTTAAAACTGGAAGTCTTGCTCTTTCTCAGAAAGCAGTGAAAGGCTCCAATGAACGTCAAACCAGTTAAACCTTGCTTCCCACAAACCACACTGGCAGAGAGATTATTACTGCTTATATTATAAAATCATTAGATGGGCCATTAAACAAAGCATAAAGAAAACGCCTGCATTATGGCTGTTTACTACAATAAGTAGAGATACAACTGACAAACAGAACAGGATCCATAAACACAGCATATCAAAGGGGGAAACAGTCTCACATGCAAGATGTAGGCATGTCACCAAGGCCTTCACCCCTTCTCTAGGCACCCCAACATCCTGAAAATCTCTGTAGAACTTGACATGTGCAAACAAGAAGATAAAAAGGTCCAGTGCATTGGCTGCCAGTGTTTAACCATCAACCACTACTGAGGGGACAAGGGCTCTCTTTATTTAGCTACTATCTTTACAAAGAGATTCAGTTTTCCTTCTCTATAAAGTTGAAAGGGAGTAAGAAACAAAAACCTATAATGAAATGAAGGAGTATAATATTCATGCACAGAAAAAGGTAGGGTTGTAAGTTTTTAATTTTTTATGTATACCATTTTAAAAAGTCCATCCAGTATTTGGATGGGACTAGGTGGGCAGAGTACAGAAATGTCATATTGAAAGGTTAATAAACACCACTGTAAACATTAAAAAAAAAAATCACAGAAGAGGACTGCACATCTTGTAGTTTGAGAGATTCAGCAATTGGTATCTCCAGCTAGAAGTTTTAATTCTAGAAACGATGCATTTCAGCCTTTCTCAAAACCAGTACTTATTCATCAAAACCCCCAAGAACATAAAAATGAAATGAATCCAGGCAGCAAAGAAGAAGAAACAAAATATTGGCACATGAAACAAAAGAAAAAAATGACAAGGGATCAACCTAGTTGATTCTATGATTCTCTGAATTCAAACTGCAGTGGCTGAACAATTATAGGCTCAATCCAGCTGTTGTTACTGAAACCAGGTAAGGTCTGAGGATTTATGGGGTTGGGATGCTAACATCACTCTAAACCACTGGGTGCTATACATACTCAAAAAGTTAATTTCAAGGCTGACAGAACCTCAACATATAAATCTCATGGTTTTTTTTAGCACTGGTAAGTCCAATGCCACTTATGTATGCACCAGCATTCTCATAGAACAGTATAAAAAACAGCTGGTATTTATTACCAACCATATAAAGAACAGGATGACGAATTTTCTAGTTACTCAACTCTCAAAAGGTGTAGGAGAAGGAGTTAATCCATCATGCTGAAATCTTCCACTTCAGGACATATATCTGAGTTCCTGCCAGTATTAAAACCTCCTTGACTATTTCAGAAGCTGCCCTCTAACAGAGAAAATAGATGTGAAATGTGCCAGATTTATACCACGTTCATCTTTCATGAATAAATAGGAACTAACCACAGACCAAGAGAGTCACAGTAGCTCAGATAGAAATGTAACTTAAATTACATTTGCTGTGTTCAGGCAGAATAACCAATACCATTATCAGTGTAGGAAGATCACAAAATCACTTCAAGACTCTTTCAAATAATTATTATGTAATGGATTTAATCATAAGAAATCAGATGCAATCTTAACAACTTGAAAAACAATTTTAAGTGAAAATATTCAGCACCAATAATCTTCCAGAGCTAAGTGCATAAACCAGAAATCTCCTAACTTAAAAATGAACATGGCTTTTAGCTTGGTTGATAATAATTTCAGCCTTTAAAAATATTGTATATTATTCCACAGGTCAGTTGAAATAGCAAATAATAAAAAATAGGGGGGGTAGAATCCTAAACAGGCATATAAACGGGTAAGGGAAAGAGGAAACAGCGTTTAGAAAAAGTTCCAACTAGACAAGCACTTAGCCATCTATGCAGAGACACTTTTAGTTAGATTTTTCATTCAGTCAAAACGTTCCCTTTCCAACGCTTGCATTTTAGCTACTTTGTGCATAAAAACCTCATTCTGTCATTATTCACTGAACACAATCCTGTATCAGTGATAAAGTTATGATTTAAAGCTTAATTCTTCACATTACATACATACAATTCTCATCAGAAATGCAAGAGTAAGAATGATTTGGTAGATGTACGATTCTTAAATATGTTATTGCAAGACTTACCTCCCACTTTTCAGATGTACTGTTTCCACGCTTGCCTGATTTAATTAAATACAGTCTTCCTGTACCATCAGAAAGGGTAACCCATGTGGAAGATGAGAAGTGTATTGAGGCACAAAGGCGATTATCATAAGCTGTCAAATCTGTAGGCAGCCGGAAAACTTCTCTTGGTTTTTGTAGAGCAGTGTCCTGTAAGGGAACAGTCACCTGCTAAGATTTTATGAAGCATTTATCAATTTCAGTAATTATTACAGTCAAATTAACAAATCTCAATAACAACTCACCAGTTTCTTTGTGCAGTTGAGTATATTTGGAAAAACGGGGTAGCAAGCATCATTCCCATGTATGTGGGAAAAGTGGTGGGATTTCATTATTGATTTCTATTTACTGAAAATACAAGTGTTCCATAGCTGATACTTCAGCATTCATTTTTTTTTTCCTTCCATTTTACAACACTAGTTACTTAAAAAGGATTTTCACTACTTTTCCCCTAGCATTACATATAATCACCTACCTCAAATAATTCTAGTCCCAGTAAAAATGTGGAGACTTTAAAAGAAATAACAGCCACAGAACTGAATTCAAACTAGTTCATAAAAATTCACTTCTGAATTAAAAAGAATTTTAGCCTATTCTGTTATATATAATATCAGCAGAATATCAAGCTGATATACACTCTCTATGTGTAAGGAGATTGTAGCAAGGTGGGTGTCAGTCTTTTCACCCAAGTAACATGCAATAGTACAAGAGGAAATGGCCTCAAGTTGCACTGGGGGAGTTTTAGATTAGATGTTAGGAAAAATTTCTTCACCAAAAAGGTTACTGAGCATTGGAACAGGCTGCCAAGGAAGCGGTGGAGTCATCATCCTTGGGGATATTTAAAAGACGTGTAGATGTGGTGCTTCGGGACATGGTTTAGTGGTGGACTTGGCAGTGCTGGGATAACAGCTGAACTCAACTTTAAAGGTCTTTTCCAACCTAAAAAATCCTGTGATTCTACTATGCATCAAGATAAATATATCACGCTCTATCAGTGGCACACTGCAATCTTATTTTTTAAGCTAAACTGCAAGCATGGATTGTTTTTGAGCATGAAGAGAGAGACTACAGCAAACATGACAAAAAAATAATATATAACACTGATTTTCTTCTTTTCATAAAGGGAAAAAAGCCCCCAACAAAACATAAAGATAAATCCAGTATTTCCTGCAGTATAAACTTTACACAAATCAGGCTGATTGCATAATAGCGCAAAATTACTAATGTCATCTATATCACCAGTTCTCAGAAGTCCTGCTTTAGTTCTATGTTGCCTTCTTCATTGCCTGCTAATTCTAGCAGAAGAAACTGCTTTTGTGCTGTAAAATGGATTTCCAACTGTTGTCATTAAGTATAAAGGCATGTCTTCCAGGACATATTTTAGGGATTATACTTTATCTTCTGCCTTCACTCTCACATCCCTTCTTTGTCGCTTAAGGCTTTGTAACTCTCTGCTGTTTGGCTTGCAGAATGCCAGCAATGCCACTGCCTGCAAAGGACTACAATTTACCTGCCTTTTGTGAGTTAAAGTAATCTCTGAATGTCCAAAAGGTTTGTTAGGAAAAAAACCCCGAACAAATATTTATGACTCATAAAGAACTCAGCACTGCAGTTTAAAAAACGGTCAGGACATGCTTTATCAGCAATTCAGCTTGATTTACCTATAAAGTAGATCAGGCTGCAGTATTAAGAGTACAAACAAAATATTCTTAAAGAAAAACACAAGACGCAGACTGCAGATTCAGCAACATCAGTCACATCTCTATAATCTTTCAAAAAGCTGAAATAGAACTTAATTGCTTGAAGTTTTTCAACTGAACTAAGCAGCTGCCAAATAAAATGGGCTCACAGTCTGTCACAAGAGGGGTCCGCCACAGATTCATTCCAAGCCCCATCCTGTTCAACATCCTCATAAATTACCTGGATGAAGAAATTGAAAGCACCCTCACCATATTTGCTGATGACAGCAAACTAGGTGATGGGGTGGGCAGACATGTCTTGCACAGAGACACAGGTAGCCCGGAAGAGTGGAGTAGCAAGAACATTGTGAAGATAAAGAAAGGCAAGGTGCTGCACCTGGTACAGAATAACCAAAGAGCCGAGAGCCAGCCAGGATCTGTGTGGCTGCGAAGCAGCCTTGCTAAAAGGGACTGGAGTGTACTGGTGGACAGCAAGCTGAACATGAGCAAGCAGTGCCGTGGTGCAGCAACATGGGCAAAGTTGCCAAGCCACTGTCCAACATATTTGAAAGATCATGGCAGTCAGGTGAAGTTCCCAACAACTGGAAAAGGGAAATATAACCCCCATTTTAAAGAAGGGAAAAATGGATGACCCACGAAATTACAAACAAGTCAGTCTCATCTCTGTGCCTGGCAAAATCTTGGAGCAGATTCTCATGAAAGGCATGCTAAGGCACATGAAAAACAACAAGGTGCTTGGTGACAGCCAGCATGGCTTCACTAAGGGGAAATCCTGCCTGACCAATTTGGTGGCCTTCTATGATGGGGCTACAGAACTGATGGACAGGGGTAGAGCAGTTGATGTCATCTACCTGGACTTGTGCAAAGCGTTCGACACTGTCCCACACGACATCCTTGTCTCTAAATTGGAGAGACATCAATTTGATGGATGGACCACTTGGTGGGTAAAGAACTGGCTGGATGGCCGCATGCAAAGAGTTGTGGTCAATAGCTCAATGTCCAGCTGGAGACCAGTAACAAGTGGTGTCCCTCAGGGATCCACACTGGGACCGGTCTTGTTCAACATCTTTGTCGCCGACATGGACAACGGGATTGAGTGCACCCTCACTGAGTTTGCCAATGCCACAAGCTGTGTGGTTTAGTTGATACGCTGGAGGGAAGGAATGCCATCCAGAAGGACCTTGACACGCTTGTGAGGTGGGCTGATGCCAACCTCATGAAGTTTAACCATGCCAAGTGCAAGACCCTACACTGGGTCAGAGCAATCCCAGGCACAGCTACAGGTTGGGCAAAGAAAAGATTCAGAGCAGCCCTGAGGAGAAGGACTTGGGGGTGTTGGTTGATGAGAAGATGAACATGCGCCAGCAGTGTGCGCTCACAGCTCAGACAAGCCAAAGGTATCCTGGGCTGCACCAAAAGGAGCATGATCAGAAGGTCGGAGGAGGTGATCCTGCCCCTCTACTCTGCTCTTGTGAGACCTCACTTGGAATACTATGTGCAGTTCTGGTGTCCTCCACATAAAAAGGACAAGGAACTGTTGGAACAAGTCCAGAGAAGGGCCACGAGGATGATCAGGGGACTGGAGCACCTCCGTATGAAGACAGGCTGAGAAAGTTGCGGCTGTTCAGCCTGGAGAAGAGAAGGCTGCATGGAGACCTCATAGCAGCCTTCCAATATCTGAAGGGGGCCTATAAGGATGCTGGGACTCTTCACTAGGGACTGTAGTGACAGGACAATGGGTAACGGGTTAAAACTTAAACAGGGGAAGTTTAGATTAGATATAAGGAAGAAATTCTTTTCTGTAAGGGTGGTGAGGCACTGGAATGGGTTGCCCAGGGAGGCTGTGAATGCTCCATCCCTGGCAGTGCTCAAGGCCAGGTTGGACAAAACCTTGGGCGGCATGGTTTAGTGTGAGGTGTCCCTGCCCATGGCATGGGGGTTGTAACTAGATGATCTTAAGGTCCTTTCCAACCCTGACTATTCTATGATTCTAAATCGGGTCTGAAGCTGCATCTGCAGGGGCATTACTAGCAGAGACAGAGACATGATCATCCCACTCTGATCAGTGCTTGTCAGGCCACACCTGGAGTACAGTGTCCAGTTCAGGTCCCCACAACTGAAAACGTACACAGAATGGAAAGGGTGCAAAGAAGGCCATGAAGACAGTCAAAGGGCTGGAGAACCTGCCCTATGAGGCAAGACCAGAGGACTTAGGTATTGTCTCCCTGGAGGAGTCTCAGGGGGGACCTCATGACGGTAGTCCAGTACTTAAACAGTGGCTACAAATAGGTCTGAGGCATTCCCTTCACAAGTCACAGAGAAGACAAGGGTTAATGGGTAAAAGTTGCACCAGGAGAGGTTTCAACTCAGCAGAATTTTTACAGTGAGAACCACCAATGACTGGAACAGCCTCTCCAAGTACATGGCAGAGTCCCCATCACTGGAGGCCTAAAGTACTAGATAATCTCATCCAGATTTCCCATGAAAGGTTGTAACCTATTCTCTTTTGTAGTCCCTTTGAACCTGGGCTGTTTAATGACACTAAAACGAATAGCGGATACTAACAACATAATTCAAACAAACAAAAGAATCCACTACCTTGCCCTTTATACTGATTCATAGACGTCAGAATCTGAGCTCAGGTCTCCAGAAACATCTTCCAGTAATAACAAACAAAACTAATTTCTGTTGTTTCTGTTCTGTATCTTAAAGAAACATGTCTCCTGATGTCATGGTCCTTTCCCCTCATCTTGCAGTTAGTTTTATTTATATACACATATATAATAAATGAAACAAAATTAGCTTCAACAGGTTTCGGCAGATACTTTGCAGACTAGCATACCTCCATACATTTGGACAAATAAACAGTTATATCTGGAAAAAAAAGTGCCTGACTAGCCTTTACAGATCAACATTTCCCTTTTTAAATCTAATCTACCTTCTTAATAGACTATGTTGAGAACATAACTAATGGTCACAGAGCCAAACTGTTTTTACCTTTATTTTACTGGGTTCATTTCCACTCACTTGATCTACAATTATTTTAAAGGCCCACAAACCAAAAACTCTTGCTTAAAAATGAGGAAATTCTTTCCTTGTTACTAAAAATCAGCATTAGTTTCACTAAAATTGAAATATATTTAAGTTGAAATAGATCTCTAAAACAGAAAAACAGCATGTGAAGGAAAAATATTACAGGAACAGATTTGAAGGAAGATGTTTACAAACATGTAAAAAGAAGCACTAACAGAAGCATATTATTATACTGAAAACTGGGGTGGGGGAGACAAGAATTCATCTATTCTGTGCCACACAAAATGCACTTTCTTACTACAGTAAGGGTGGGCATGAGACTAAGAAATAGCAGTGAAAAAAATACCAGATTAAACCAGCAACTCATCACAGGCCCTGAAATTTCAGATGCAAATAATTACAGTACTTTCTAAGCATTTCCTGTCCTTCCATTTTCACTTGGTCAATGGACAGGTTGGGGGTGGGAAATCATCTCTACACATACCTACTTCCAGAAAAAGAAACTCGCTCATTCTGATTTATGAAATAAGGCAAAAATATACATATAAAACACCATCTTTAAAAGAGTTCTTTGCACTTCAGCACATGTATGCTTTGCAAAAAGAGCACACTTGTGCTTGCAGAGCATGCCAGGACCTCATTTGTTGAGAATCCTGTATTTGAGCGGATTTCAAATCCTTTGTATTTTCCAGATGTTATTAAAATCATATGCATTTAAAACATGTTCAAGTGTAAGCAAGAGGAATTGGATTTGGCTAAATACCATTTTAATAACCAAGAGCAAGAATGAGCAGATGACAAGCAGATAGCCTGCTTGCCGTTTGGGCCTACTTGAATTCATATTAGAGATTACTGTATACTCCAAAAAGGCACAAGGGCTGTTAATGAAACCTGCAATGGAAAAGATGCAGATTTGATTTTTAATTGTTGAAAACATTCAGGGTCACTCTGCAGATCTGGTTGAATCACTGTGCTCCTTGAACTATTCCACTAATTTATAACACATACAGGAAGGCAGAACGAAAGTACTGAACAAACACACCCCAACAAACCAACCAATCAAAAAATCCCCAACCCAACAACAAGCCCACAACACAAACAAACCAAACAAAAATCCCACAATTAAGGTTTCATCGAAAGGAAGTGTTCTCTACAATAACTGCTGCATTGTAACTAGCCATGACTTTGGTGCCTAGAGAAAGAAATAATAACAAATTTCATGCATCTGATCATGGAAAGAAGCACCACCATCCCTCTTAACAATGATCTACAGGGCTATACTCTGTAGCATGAGAGAAGAACACACTTCTATCAGCTTTCAAGTGAATCTTAATAGTAAGCTTCAAATAGCTTTGTATGTAATTAAAAATCAAGCATCAACCATTTACTCTTCTAAAGCTCACATCAGATTTATCAGTACTAAACAGGAATGTCAAGACTCTTATCTCCTGAAATAAGTGAAAAATAATCTTCATTACACATTACAAAGTCTCCCTCTCAATAAGCAAGAAAGGAAATGTTCTTTTTACAATGTTTCTGATCACTAATTTCACTTCAGGCATTTATTAGAACAGTCTCTTACCTCAGTTTGACAACAAAAAGGATGAAGGATGGACTGTCTTGAACCAGGAACACAACCTGCCCTCAAAACCCTTCTGTATCAGATTTGCTCTTTGACTTGCTGTTTCTCTATGCACCACCTGGTTAACAACGTTCAGTAGTAACCCCTTACTATATGAGGGGATGATAAGATACTACAGTCATGTATTACATTAGCAAGAACTGACTAAAAGAACTGTAGTCATTTTACCAGAAGTCAGGTTTCCTCACTGTAATTATGTTTAAGTGAGAGCAACACAGTTTCTTTAAGAAGAAACTAGATGCAGCTTCTTGTCAATCCAGTTCTCCAACTCCTTCCACTTCTCCACGGAGGTTCTTCCTTTGTTTAACTATTTTTCACTCCCAAGTGACAAGGTATTACCTATGCTTTTTGCCTTCACAGAAAACATCTTTTGAAACACCTAAGTTGCAGGGATAAGTCATGATTTATGGACAACTAACACATTGCCATATCAGAATCAAAGTTGCAACCAAAACAGGAAGTAAACTAGAAATAAGTATGTGTTAAAAAGCCTATGTCTTCTTTCACTTTGAATTTAGGATAAGCATGTTAAACTGTTATATCTTCTGTTTTAAAGACGAGTGATATTAACTTTAACTGTGGCCATTGCTAACTTGTAAGTTATTCTTGGCTGAAAACAGTATTATTATTTGTAATACACATTTGCCTAACATATGGCCAGGCACATTTGTAATGAGACACCTTGTTGATGTTTCTGAAAACACACTCCTTTTTATGCACATGCAAACACATCTTGCAAAACAGGCTGCATTGTGCATTAGGGCACAGAATGGCAGCTATTTATTTCACAGTAGGGTGGAACTGAAACTCGTGACTAGATAAACCAGGTGCCATTTTCCTGAATACTACAACAGCCCCACTAGTCCTAGGGAAGAATATTTATTATTTCAATTTACTGATATAAAAATGCAAATTACTGCCTGTTTTAAAATCCTTCATCTAGTAAAATCCTTTATCTGCTAAGAAAGAAATCTGCACGCCTTAGTGCCCTCCTAGTAATGGAATGAATTGGGTGTCTGTGTTGGGGTGGCAGTGGCGAGCTGCAGAGGTGACCTCTGTGGGAACAGACCAGGGCTGCCCTGTGCTGCACATGGCTGCTTCCAACCCCAAGAGGACCACAGTGGGGCAGATATTCCCCCGCAGCCCATGGAAAGCCGAAGCCCAGTTCCCGGTAGGAGCTTTGTGTGACTTTGTTTCCCATCATCCTACTCCAGGTTTTTTTTGGCAATAGATTAATTTAATTTCCCCAAGGTATAGTCTGTTTTGCCTGTGATGGCAATTGGTAAGTGATCTTCCTGCTTTTATCTCAATCCACAATTTTTCTGTTTTATCTTCTCATTGGCTTGTTGAAGAGGGACCACAGAGAATGTCTGGGTGCATGTCTGGTTGTGAGGCAGAGTTAACCAACCACAAAAAAAAAACACAAAAAAAATGATGCTGTGACAAGCCACTCTTCACAGGAGGCTTTCCTTTACAAGCTTCTTTCTTTTAGACGTTCCTACTGGGAAATCAGATAGCTCAAAAGATTTGGAAGAAATCCCAGAAGATTATTCTGTCTTGGCAAGAGTCTGCCAAAGGCTCCAACTGCTTCTACATTCCATGAAAAATAAAGGAATTGTTCTGCAGCTTCAGTTTTCCATCTACCATCCTTTGGAAACCTCTACTTCCTGAAAAATCCAGAACTATCACTTCTGGATTTTCTCAGCTTGGCCTTGGACTAGTAATATCCACCCCAGAACCCTTCACAGAGTAAACCATGTTCTCTCAAACTATCACAGATCTCCCTGTGGTTTTTGTCCCGCAGGGTTACAAGTCAAATTTCTTAGTAGCACGAGAGTAGATATTTTCCTTTCCCGTCTTTTATTCCTTAATGACCAAATACTACAATTGCATGTACCAGAAACATGGTGCCTATCACCTCCAGAATGTGTCCTTTCACCTCCAGAATGAAGAATAGCTCTGTACCGCAAACTAGTGCCTCAGCGCATTAAAATGGCTCAAAAGAAACAAAGTTTTACTACTTAAGAATATGAGTACAAAAGCAGAGAACTGTCATGTTTTTCCAAACATGGCTAGCTTGCTTGCACAATTTCAAGTTTGCTCAAGGCCACCAGCATCTTTTTGCCTCCAACAAGCAATGCCAAGAGTAAGCTATTAGCCCATAAGGGCCTGCATTTCTAATTCTAATCCATATAGCTTCTTTCTCTCCTTGTATCTACAATGTCAGGATTTTCACATTAGCAAACAAACATTAAGTAGCATAGGGGAGAAGTGTCAGCAACTAGAAAAGAAGCATCTACTCTTTCTTCTGCTTGTCACTATGTTTATCTTCCCCAGATTGGAAGCAGATGACTGGAAGCACTACTGCAATACTAATGCAATACTATTAATGAAAGTATGTCAGAAACCTCACTTTAAATCCTTTCATCCTTCCTGGTGAACAGCACTTGGGTTAATCTACCTATGTTCCTGGCAGTAGCTTCCCCCAGTTTTTGCATTCAGCTCCTACCTGCTATATTTTCTATCCTATCTCCCACCTTTTCAAATTCAGTAATTTTTTAATAAAGTTTATTCTTACCAGGGTCACTGACAGATTCATAATCCTTCCAAACTGATCAACATAGTAGACACTATCCTGGTACCAGGAATCAAGATGTAGATAATTATACATGCCAAAAGCACGCATGTGGTCAAGGGTATACTGATCATCACGAAGCTTCACTTCTGCTACAGCTGGTGGAGGTAAAAATAAAAAAAAATAAAAAAAAAACTATTTAAACATTTATTTATCATGTAATAGTTGACAGTTCAAACATAACTTAAGAATGATTCTTCCATCCTTTGTCGATAGGTGTGGCCTATTTGAATAAAAATACATTATGCATATATAGTTTAAAATTTCACCATAAACTTGGAAAGCAGGTCAACCTCACTGAAGGCCAGTGCAGCCATTCACTGAGACCATGCAGTAACTATAACCATTAGCGGCCCATGGTGGTGGGCTCATCCTGCTCAGACACCAGATGCCCACCAAAGCCGCTCTGTCACTGCCTTCCTCAGCTGGACAAGGGGGAGAAAATATAACAAAACGTTCATGCATCAAGAAAAGGACAGAGAGAGATCACTCACCGATCACCGTCATGGCCAAAACAGACTTGACTTGTGGAAATTAGTTTAACTTATTACCAGTCAAATCAGAGCATGATAAAGAGAAGTAAAACCAAATTTTACACTTTCCCAAACTCCTCCCTTCTGCCCAGGCTCAACTTCACTCCTGATTTACTCTACCTCCTGCCCCCACCTGTGGCACAGGGGGATAGGGAATGGGGGTTGTGATCAGCTCACCACATGTCATTTCTGCTGCTCCTTCTTTCCAGGAGAGAACTCCTCACACTCTTCACCTGCTCCAGCATGGAGTCTCTCCCACACGAAACAGAATCATAAAACAGTTAGGGTGGGAAAGGACCTTAAGTTCTTCATTAACTTCTCCAAATGGAGTCCTTTCCACAAGCTGCAGTTCTTCATGAACTGCTCAAGCGTGGGTCCCTTCCACGGGTGCAGTCCTTTAGGCACGAACTGCTCCAGAGTGGGTCCCCCTTGTGGTCACAGCTCATGACAGAAACCTGCTCCAGCCCAGGCTCCTCCCTCCATGGGGCTGCAGGTCCTGCCAGGAGCCTGCTCCAGTGAAGGTTTGGGACCTCCACGGGGTGCAGAGGCACAGCCTGCCTCACCATGATCTGCACTACGGGCTGCAGGGGAATCTGCTCTGGTGCCTGGAGCACCTCCTGCCCTCCTCCTCCACTGACCTTGCTGTCTGCAGAGCTGTTTCTCACACATATTCTCACTCCTCTCTCCAGCTGCAATTGCTCCTGTGCAGTAACATTTTCCCTTCTTAAATGTATTATCCCAGACACACTACCATCATCACTGATGGGCTCGGCCTTGGTCAGGGCTGGGTCTGTCTTGGAGCAGACTGGCACTGGATCTATTGGAGATGGGGGGAGAAGCTTCTGGCAGCTTCTCAACAGAAGCCACCCCTGAAATAGCCAAAGTGCCACCAAAATTTCCAATTAAGCTTTTTCTAACTGAAAGAAGCTGAAACACTGGCTGTTCGCTATTACAGTACCTTCTTCAAGACAAGAAGCTTGCTACCTGTGCTCATCCACTTGAGGAAGATTTTTCCAAACAGAAAACCTCTCCTCAGCTGCCAGTAATCAGAACTGGTCTTACCTAAGACAAGCCAAGTTTTTATTTAACCTATGCAGCTTTTTCTTCCTATTCCATACCTAGAGATCAGCTGCAGTTTCAACATCTAAAAATATAGAAAATCATCAAATTTCAGCCAAGACATCAGTAGGAGTCTAGTCCATCCTTCTGCAAGTAGTCTCAGACAGACTGGAACCCCGGTTCACTCTCCAGTACCGTCAACAACCCAGGATCCTTAGCTTCCTTGCAGGAAGTTTATCTTGAACTTCACACAAGTAAAATCCTTTAGACAGTTTTAAGTAAACTCTGTCAGCCTCTAAAACCAGAGTATGGGGAAAGCACCTCAAGGTTAATCCTTCTCACAGCAACAGTTACTTTAATTCCTATTATTTTAGCTTCCACTTTCTTCTCTTTTCTGCTCAAAACCAGAGCAAAGCTATTTCCAGTATTTCACTTCCATCCATACTCGTATCAGGGGCCATTCACAACTCTATGTAGCAGTCCCCATCTCAGACCTCTTATGCTCTTTAGCATCTACTTAAAACCTACTGAAGAACCAGCAGTTTCCTCTGCTCTGCCAGAACACCAATTACAGCAACAGCAGATCATTTTGCAGTGCAATCAGTGCCACTGCATAGCTGTCACAAAACCATCCATCAGACATTCACTAGATGGCTCAGTGAAAACTGACCCCACCAGAGACATGGGCTATTAACATAAAAGTGACTACAGGAAACTGTGCAAGATTATACTGTCTGATTAATAAAAATACCCAGTCACACTACACAAAATGAGAGTATAATTAGCAATTAGTCTTCTAATCACTGCTGATATTTGCAAGCCAACAGTATTAATTCCACTCAGCTCAAATCATTATTCACATTCACCACACAGGAGGGATTTCTATACACCTCCAATAAATAAATTACTGTTCCCTTGAAGAGCCAAGGTCCTTCAAAACAAGCTAGAATATCCACAAAGGAGACAGAAGAAAATGCACCTTTCATAGTGGGAAAGACTGCTACCCATTCCAATTCCTACTTTAAATAATCAGAATATTTTACAGTAAATTACACTAAAAGAAATTTACATTACAGTAAAAGAGATTAGAAGGATATGCTTGTTGTGAAAAATGTTTTTAAAGCTGTTTGTACAATCAAGCTTTATCACAGAGATATTTTTTCTAACATGAGATGATGTGAATATTCTGCAAGCAATTAAAGACAAAATCAAATATAATCCAGGGTAATTGTTTCCAGTGAAACCAAGTACATGTCATCTACTTCCTGTATAGTTACATTAACTGTTCTTCTGAAATTAAACACACATGCGGAAGCATGTAAAGCTTTTTTAACATAGAAAACCTAAAACTGTCTTACTTCAGAAGGCTTTTCTTCTCCACCTCTCCCTCCTCACCCCCCTAGACATGCTGCTGTCAGAATTGCAACTGAAACACATAGTGAACATTCCAAATTAGATGGTTCCTGAAGCAAATGTACAACCTGTCAAGAAAATTATTGGAACAATACACTACTGGTTAGCTGACTGTAATGTGATGAGCTTTATAACCATGAATAAAGTTTTTGGCCTTGACTTTTTCAGCCTGTAGTGCTGACACACCCTGACTAACAAGGGATCAGGAATACTGCACAATTGCAACACTGAATTAATTCTTCAGAAACAGGAGTCAGGAACTATACAATATATGGGCAATTTTAAACCAGGAACTCAAACAAATCTGTACTGTACTGTCATAAAACACTTTAAATAAGGTTATCAATTGCTTGCAAAATGTATCCTGTATATATAGCTCTCTGCCAAGGAGAAATAATTACAGTAACTATTCCATCCTCAATTAATTGAAATCCATTCTGTGATCAAGTGAAATGTGTGCAGAAATGCCATCTGCTATCACATACCATGTGCTCAAATAGTTTATAGGAGATTTTACACTAGGATGAAGTTCATTCCTTCCTTTCTACAGCCTTCCAGGTTCAAGTTTTCTTGATGGTCCTTGGAAAAATGAAGAGAAAATCAACAGAGCTGAGTGCAGAATAATAAAGCACAAAAGAGAGAAGAAACAGAGACTTTTAATAAAGCAAATTCAGGAAAAAGAGAAGTTAATACAAATGGAAAAGAAGAAATACTTCAATCAGATCACCACCTTATTCAGTCACACAGTTTTGCCTGGTTTTGTTTGGTCAGGATTTTTTTTGTCGATTTTTGCTTTTGTTAGGTTTATGGTAGGGTTTGTTGTACGGGTTGTTCTGTGCGCTTTGTTTGGGGTGTTTTGGTGTGTTTCTGGGGGGGACGGTTTGTTTGTTTAAGAGTCTAGCACTGGGCTCTTCATTTTTTGGAGGCTCAATTAACAAGCAGCAATTAATGACAGCTACTCAACAGAATGATACATGGTCTCCTTCAACTTTGATAAATCTGCACTACTAAAACCCAGGAACATTGATTCATACTCTGTCATACCCAAAAAGAGACCAAATATACAGAATGTAAAAATTACATCCCATCTTTCAATATTATTTCTCAATAACGCTGATAGGTGGGGTGGGATATTTCAGACTAGTACAAAGAAAATGATGCCACTTTTCTAGAATCGTATTTATCTCCAGTTTCATGCTTGAAAAAGTAATTTGACTCAAAATAGTTCAAAGATAATTAAGCAAAGAGTTTCATGCCATGTCACCTTTACCTAAAAGAAAAAACACTAAATGGAAAGGAACTCATAAGAATCAACAGGAGTGAGACATCTCTGACCTAAGTGGATTTTATTATAATTATTACTCTGCAGCGAAAAAAAAAGCTCCTCTGAATAAAGAACACTATCAAGGGACTATACTTTAAATAAATAGAGAAGTCTTATATCTGCCATCAAACATGATTCAGCAGAACTGAAAAAAAAAAAAAAAGGAAAACTAGTGAGGAACACCCCCTCCATCCCCCATTTTTAGATGTTTCACTGAATACATCAAAACATCTTTACAATACTGGAAAATATGTAAAATAATTATAACAACATACTATTTTGGTGCACTGAATGTTATATGCTTGTATGTCATAGTTTGATCTGCAATGCCACCCAGTGGCAGTAATTCAGTATTTCATATAAATTTATATCCTCGTGGAAGAGCTTAATTTATTTTCTAGTATAAGCATCCAAAGATCTTTTTAACCCTGTATTCTTTTTCCTTTAATATCAACAAATATCCTTTTATACATAACGGCAGCATCATCTCATTGCTGCTGTTCAGTAAAAGTACAAGGCTTGGTTATTCTACTGCAGTACCTTAACAGACTAAACACAAAATGTTCCTGTTTTAATAAACACCTAGCTTGCTGAAAACAAGCACAGGCTGACAGATACTCTGTAATGAAGTATTTTTCCCTAATCACATTACTTACACAAACATTGGAAGTAAATATGATCTATCACACAAAAAAAAAAAACCGAACAAATAAATTGAACAAGATCCAAAAACTTGCAAGACATTTGTGAAAGTATCAGTACAGCTGATAGTATAGTGAACTACAGCTATGGCTCACAGTTTCTTAGTATTTCTCATATATAGAAGACTTTTATTCTATAATTTTTTCAAATGGACATGGAAAACACAAATGGAAACTGCTATAAATGTTTGAAATATATCAGTATCTTTGGCTCCATAAAGACACACATTATATTCATGTGGTATTAGTAAGACAACTACTTTTCACTCAAGCAGAGTGAATGGGCAACTGTGTTTCACAGAAGTAGAGACCTTTTGGTCCTAACAGGCTGCAAACAGAGCAGGCATTCATTAATACCATTTTTTTTTATTTTTAGAAGTGACAAAAACCCATAAATGCACATAATCGAAGGAATGTACTCTCTGCATGTTCTCCTGGCTTGCAACAGGAGCTCCACGTTTGAGTGAATGTTTACTATGCCTTTCAGCTGTTATGGTATGATCATAGAATAGTCTGGGTTAGAAGTGACTTTCAAAGGAGGTGCTCCATCCCTCTGATCATTTTTGTGGCCCTTCTCTGGACCCTCTCCAACAGGTCTGTGTCTTTCCTGTGCTGAGGCTCCAGAGCTGAATGCAGTACTGCAGGTGAGGCATGGTGTATGTTTTTTGATATAACAGTTCTGCCAAATAGAAAAAATAGAGAGGAAAGGCATGAGGGAAACCCACAACTGAGTAACTTCGAAGCCTCTGATAAAAAAAGGAATCAAGTTACATCTGATCAGTGGAAGTCAAGAGTGAGGTTTTCATTCCTCTAAAAACTACATGCATCTTAGACATGGTTCTTGTTGGAGACAATCTGCCCCACAGCCACTGACTGCTCTGGGATCTGTTGAGTTCAGATCAGGGCAGAAGAGGTGACTGTAAACAAGACATTCTTTCTTCCCTCTCAAAGATTCAGTGGTTTAAAAGAAAGGCCGTACAAAGCTCAGCACAAAGGAATCACTAGGAAATAAGTTATGAAAATAAATTGAGGAAAATAAAAATACACAAAACTTAGGATAAAGAGTTTGGAATTAAACATATAACAGTGTGGGACTCATTACTAGTTAAAACGTGCTCTCAGGATGAGATGAGAGAGTAATGACTGTGAAAGTTTAGATTAATTAGGACAGAATAGGCAGGAGTAAAGAAGAAATAAAAGATGAACATGCAAACCCCAGTATTTAAAAGGGAACGTAAGATCCCAGAATTTCACCATTCATCCCTGTGACCTTATATTTAAGATATTCACTAGAAAATTCCCCTCTAGCACAGATCTAACAAAATAAATATATTAAATAAATGTTTTAAAATTCTTTCTGCTGCACGTCTGACCACAGCAAATTCCTGGCAACTGCAGTTTTACAGTTAAAGGCAAACTGGAACTGAATACTAACTTTTACACAATGGTCAGAAAATGAAGCTCACTGTAGCCCCCAGGAGCATGACAACCAACACAAATTGTCCTGCAGTACCATGTGTTGCCATCCATCTGCTCCAGTAGGATAAACCTGCATCAACTCCATGCGCCAATTTCTTTCAGCCATTTTAGTTTACAGCTAGCAGTGAAATTCATAAAAATGGTTAAATATAAAAACATAGATGAAATATCAAAGATTAACACCCTAATGCTTAATATGCAAGTTTGTATTAGCACTGCATAAATACTTCAACTGAATTAATTCAGTTCTACTTAAGAATAAGTACCTATTTCTATTTATTATCATATATTCAAAGCACTTTAAAGCTCACATGCTCATCTTACTGCCATGAAATTTGGGATGCCACACAGGCAGAACTCCAAATCTCAGGTCATTTGAGACAAGGATTCCTGAAATCAGTTCCTGGAAAACAAACAAAAAATTCAACAGCCTTTTTACACTAATCTTCCATATACTATCACTGCATTTTCCACACAGTTGTGAATAAAATCAGAAATCATGATGACAGTGTTCCTAAACATGTGACATTTATTTCAGCTACTGTACTTTGCTCACTCTCACTCTGAGGAAATTGAAACTCTTCACTCAGTGACAAATATTAATTTAATGACACACAAACTACCAAGTTCTTCATTATGTTCCTCAGACTTCTAATCTGCTCACAATGTGCTGGAAAGCACAAGTCCTTGGCCTTCTAACACAGTATTAACTTATCTCTTGCAGTAATTTGAAAAAGCCATGGCCTACACACCACCCACTGCTTCTACAACTCAACCCATTATTCCTGCATAACATAAAACTCAAGTTGTGAAAGGATGCCCTCAGTTTCATGCATACATATTAGACAAGAAACACAAAGTTCAGGTACAGAACATCCCTGTATTGTGAAAAAACTGCCTTGGAGTAAGAAAAAAACAGCAAGGATATAGCGCCAGCTGTACGGCCTAAGAACAGGCTGAAATATAGATAAAACATTGAGAAAACAGGTATCTGGGCCTCTGTGCTGTGGGAATTGGAGAATGGCACACATACCAATCTTCTGTCACACAGGTTACTGAAGCTATTACATAAAATATCTGAATAGACAAGAACTGGTTAGATGCATTTCTCCATTAGCGACTCCATCATTCAAGAAGTTCAATAAGAATCTGTAAACCTCACTACTGAGAACAGCTGCACAACTGACTACCCAAGAACCACAGAGCTTATCTAACCACAGGCAGAGTACCAAATAAAGGGCAAACTAAGAGGCTGTACCGACACCACACTAACTGCTGTCATCTTAGACACAGCTGTAATACACTCCTAACACACATTCACTAACTCGTATTTGGACTGTCTTTTGAAAGGGGACACCTAAATTAGTCTTACAGTAAAAAATGTCAAAGCACATAACAAAAATGTTACTCTTTTTGAATTTTCCAGTCCTATGACAGATGCACACAGTATCACCTCACGTTCATTCACTCCTGCAATATACAGTTCACATACTGCTTCACATTCTGCCACAATTCACCATGGCAAACACACCTTTCTGATCCACTACTAATACCATGTATTTAACACAAACCAAAGTAAAAAGTAACAGCTAGCTCTGTAGACAGGCACATAAATCAGCAGACATACAGAGGTAGAGATCAGTCCACCCGAATTGTGTATTACTGTCTCAGAAAAGTAATTCATCCACCAACAAAGCCCATACCTTTATTTAGGTCTTTTTGTAGGTGGATGAGAGATTTCAGGGGGCATGGCTAAGGTCGTAAGCACATTTCCAACATCACTTTGTGCTAACATTCTTCTCAGCAAATTAGCCCATTAATGGCCCAGTACCTCAAATGTTACTCATAACACTTAGCAGAAAAAGCAGAGCACGGAATAAACAACCCTTAGATCCTCATCTGAACGGCTGGCAGAGCAAGAAAGTAAAAACAGTAACTGCTGAGGTCTGTAAGAGATACTGATTTTATACATACTTCTATAAATCACCTGCAATCCATCACCCTCACATGTACCCTGCCATTATGAACACTACTGCCTATGTACAAGGCAAAGCCAGATTTATCACACGGATTTCCTTACTCATTTAGAAACTCAGTTCAAACTCACAGGGGCAGGCCATTGTAATGCAGTCGTGTGACAACAGCCTGAGACCTTGGTCCACCACGGAGCTGGGTGAACACGGGGGGACGACACCAAAGACAACGGTGCAGCCAATTCTAACGAGAGAAACCAAGAGGAAACGCCAGGTATACCAACCACCGGCTGTTCCGACCCAGAACAGGCGCGTAGGCCGCCCGGTACAGAGCGCCGGGCTGCCCCCAGCTCAGGGCACGCCTGCAACGAGGGCCGCTGGGCCTCTCAGCGGAGCACTGCAGGAGGACCCCCCAGGCCACAGGGCGAAGGGGAGGCCGGCGGTCTCACCCGCCCATCCGCGCCGTGCCGCACCTCCCCAGTCCTCACCCGCGTCGAGCTCCAGCTGGTAGCAGGCCAGCGGCTCTAGGGACAGCTTGTAACCCTCGAACTTGGGGTCCAGGAGCAGGCGCTTGGCCTGCAAAGAGCAGTGAGACGCCATGCCGCGACACCAAGAACAGCTCGGCGAACACGCGGGAGCCGCCGCGCAGCACCACTGGGCCGGGACCGGGGGGCATGCCGGGAGCTGTAGTCCTCCGCCGCACTTCCTGTCGGCTCCCGAGAGCGAGGTGCTCCACCTCCTGCCGCCGGGGCCTGGCTCTGCCGAGCTGCGGAGGGGTGAGCCGGTGGCGACGGACTGTGGCCTGCTGGGGCCTTGCCCCGTGCTCGCAGTTCCGACTCGGCCGCGGGGGGAACCCCGGCGGGCGAGAGAGGCGCGGAGTGGGGGAAGGGAGAGGGGTGAGGAAGGACGGGATGCGGGGAGGCCGCGCCCGCTTCAGCGGCTCGGTTAGCTACCGGCGCCCCAGAGCTGGGCAGCCCGGCCCGGCGGGTGCTGTTCTGGTGCTGATTCCGGGGCTCCCTCGGTCGTTAGCAGTGGGGATGGGTCGTTAGCAGCGGGTGTGGTGCTGCCTGTAACTGTGCGAGCGACTTTCCTTTTGTTGTGTTAGTGACACGGATGGTGGTCAGCCCCTCTTCTGCTCCCAGTCGTTTGTGAAAAACCGGGACTTCCAACATGAACAAAGATGCCCAGATGAGAGCAACCATTAACCAAAAGCTAATAGAAACAGGAGAGCGAGAACGGTAAGCAGACTTCTGTTTCCTTGCCACCATGAAGCTAAAAATACCATCGAACACGAGACACTCCTAGAAGTAAAGATTAAGTAAACTTAACGCTAAATCCTGCAAATACCTGCATGTGAAAGCCGTATGTATTATGTAAAGCTGTATTAAAAATCTCTTATTTTTGTCTTTTGAGCAGTTTTATGTTAGTTTTTCACTTGAAAAGGGGAGATAGGAAAATAAAGGAGGGGGTGGTTGGCTTATGAACTCTTAAACTTATTCTTAAATTCGTACTCTTAGTTTTTTCTTACTCTGGCACTTTTTCACAGTATCACAGTATGCTAGAGATTGGAAGGGACCTCAAAAGATCATCTAGTCCAATCCCCCTGCCGGAGCAGGAACACCTAGATAATGTTACACAGGAATGTGTCCAGGCGGGTTTTGAATGTCTCCAGGGAAGGAGACTCCACAACCTCCCTGGGCAGCCTGTTCCAGTGTTCCGTCACCCTCACTGAGAAGAAGTTTCTTCTCAAGTTTAAGTGGAACCTCTTGTGTTCTAGTTTGTACCCATTACCCCTTGTCCTATCATTGTTTGCCACTGAGTAGAGCCTGGCTCCATCCTTGTGACACTCCCCCTTTATATATTTATATACACTAATAAGGTCACCCCTCAGTCTCCTCTTCTCTAAACTATAGAGACCCATCTCCCTCAGTCTTTCCTCATAAGGGAGATGCTCCACTCCCTTAATCATCTTAGTTGCCCTGCGCTGGACTCTCTCCAGGAGGTCCCTGTCCTTCTTGAACTGAGGGGCCCAGAACTGGACACAATATTCCAGATGCGGTCTTACCAGGACAGAGGAGAGGGGAAGGAGGACCTCTCTCGACCTACTAACCACCCCCTTTCTAATACACCCCAGGATGCCCTTGGCCTTCTTGGCCACAAGGGCACAGTGTTGGCTCATGGTCATCCTGTCGTCCACTAGGACCCCCAGGTCCCTCTCCCCTACACTGCTCTCTAACAGGTCGTTCCCCAACCTATACTGGAACCTGGGGTTGTTCCTGCCCAGATGCAGGACTCTACACTTTCCCTTGTTATATTTCATCAAGTTATTCCCTGCCCAACTCTCCAGCCTGTCCAGGTCTCGCTGGGTGGCAGGACAGCCTTCTGGCATGTCAGCCACTCCTCCCAGCTTAGTGTCATCAGCAAACTTGCTGATAGTACACTCAATTCCCTCATCTAAATCGTTGATGAATATATTAAATAATACTGGTCCCAGTACTGACCCTTGAGGCACTCCACTACTTACAAGCCTCCAACTAGACTCCGCCCCATAGACTACCACTCTCTGGCTTCTCTCCTTCAGCCAGTTCACAGTCCACCTCACTACCTGATCATCCAGTCCACACTTCCTCAATTTAGCTGTGAGGATGCTGTGGGAGACTGTGTCAAATGCTTTGCTGAAGTCAAGGTAGACCACATCCACCGCTCTGCCATCATCCATCCACCGTGTTATTTCCTCATAAAAGGCTAAGAGATTGGTCAAGCATGATTTTCCCCTGGTGAAGCCATGTTGACTGCCTCTCATAACCCTCTTATCCTTGATATGCCTTAAGATGGCACCAAGGATGAGGTGTTCCATCACTTTCCCAGGGATGGAGGTGAGGCTGACCGGTCTACAGTTACCCGGGTCCTCCTTCTTGCCCTTTTTGAAGACTGGAGTGACATTTGCTTTCCTCCAGTCCTCAGGCACCTCTCCCGTTTCCCAAGACTTGGTAAAGATGATGGAGAGTGGTCTAGCAATGACTTCCGCCAGTTCCCTCAGCACCCGCAGGTGCATCCCATCTGGACCCATGGATTTATGGATGTCCAGACTGCTCAACTGGTCTCTAACCCATTCCTCATCAACTAAGGCAAACTGCTCCGTTGACCTGACTTCATCTAAGGTCTCAGGGGTAGAGGGCTCTTCAGGACTGCCTGCAGCAGAGTAGACAGAGACAAAGAAGGCATTCAGTAACTCTGTCATCTCTGTATCTTCTGTCACCAGGGCACCCATCCCGTTCATCAGTGGGCCTACATTGCCTCTGATGTTAGTTTTATCTGCCATGTATTGGAAAAGCTCTTTTTGCTGTCCTTGACCCTTCTTGCCAGGTTTAATTCTAAGGAGGCCTTAGTCATCCTAGCTGCCTTCCTACATCCTCTAGCAGCAGCCTTATATTCCTCCCAAGTGGCCAGCCCCTCCTTCCATGACCTGTAAACTCTCCTCTTCCACTTGAGCATACCCAGCAATTCCCTATTTAGCCACGCAGGTCTCCTGGCCCTCTTCCTTGACTTCCTACGTGTCGGGATGCTCTGATCTTGAGCTCCGAAAAAGCAATCCTTGAATGCCAACCAACTATCTTGGCCCCTTTACCTTCAAACAGCCTTGCCTTCAAACAGCTTTTTTGTTTTAAAGCTCTTGGTTCTTATAAAAATCACCATTAAATGCACTTGTTGCAGTCAAATCTTGTTATTTCCTGATAATGAGACAAAGCTTCCCTGTTTGATTTTCTCCTGTGTACTTGTCTCTTGTTAGGGAAATAAATATGCAACGGAACACATAAAACAGAACTTGTGCAAGTCATTCTAGGGATCCCAATAAAGGTAGACAAGTGAATTATGCAGTGTGGTGTGGCAGCTAGGTTTTGGCCTTTTCTGTCTCTTAAGCCTGTTTTATTTGCATTATAGTTACATATCATTAGCAAACTTATAAATAGTTTGGGTTGGAAGGGACCTTCAAAGCTCATCCAGTCCAGCCCTCCTGCAATGAGCAGGGGCATCTTTAAATAATCAGGTTGTCCAGAATCACATCCAGCCTGGCCTTGAATGTCTCTGTGGATGGCACATCCACCACCTCTCTGGGAAACCTGTGCCAGTATTTTAACACCTTCCTTGTAAAAACTTCTGTCACACATCCAGCCTGAATCTCCCTCTTTTAGTTTAAAACCAACACCCCTCGTCCTATCACAATATCTCCTGTTAAAATGTCTCTCCCCAGCTTTCCTATAGGCCCCTTTAAAGAACTGAAAGGCCACAATAGGGTCTCCCTGAATCTTCTCCAGGCTGAACAACCCCAAATCTCTTGGCCTTTCCTCATATGAGAGGTGCTCTGTCCCTCTGATCATTTCTGTGGACTTTCTCTGGACCCTCTCCAACAGGTTCATGTCTTTCCTGTGCTAAGAACTACAGAGCTGCACACAGTACTCTGTGTGGTGTCTCAGCAGAGTAGAAGGGGGAGAATCATCTCCCTTGACCTGCTGGCCATGCATCCTCATCATCATTTCACTATACTCATAACACCATGCACCAAAAGCTCCATTTCCTTTATTTCTCAAGGCCTGTATGAGAAGGAGTCTTCTCCCTAGGTCATCGCATAGCCCTGTGCCCAGTGTAACCTTTCACAGACATGGTGTCTGCACTGTGCTCCTTTCCTGGTTGTGACCATCCCATTGGAGATTGCACAGAGCTTCAGCAGAGCAAACAATTTCTTGAAATGGTATTGGGAACTATTTTAGTCTAACAGTGAGAAGAGTTTTGTCAGGACATCAGAAGCTGTATTATAAGCAAGTTTTATCAGAGCCTTTCTATGATCAGTACTAATTTTCACTTTCTTAGCTAGCTTTCAGTATTCTTTATTGATATATGGAGTAGATGTATCATTGCAGCAGATTGTTGTAAGTCTTGTCCATTTTAACGCCTGAATCCTTTTCGCTTATGCTTATAATTGCCAACCACATTAGGAAGATACACGGTCCCTTTGTCTTCACCCAACATGAGGTAAAGCATAACTGGGAAGAGAAACCTGCTGTTGAAAACAGTTGTATGGAATTCTTCTTTTAGAAGGGAAGAGGGAAGGTTTCCTTTGAAGGCCTGTTTTTAGGTGAAATATTTTAACTTTTAAAGTTAGCATACGTATGCTAACAGAGTAGACCTGAGCAGTTCAAGTGACGCAAGGGCTTCTGCCTCTTTTCTGTGGCTGCAGCATCAATGCTGCCTGAAAGAAATACTGTGAAATTAGCTTCTGAGCAGCCAACTCCTCTCAGTCCAACATGGTAAACTGAAATTAATATTCAGGTTAGGGTTCACATGCTGTTCAGCTGTTTCTGCTGGGAGTTCTGTTGTGGGCAGGAATTGTAGACTTAATTGTCATCCTGAAACATAGTTAAGCTGTCAGCAATGTTTGCTGTTCCTAACAGGTTTCTATATTGTCTTAACAGCCTTAAAGAGTTGCTTAGAGCCAAATTAATCGAATGCGGCTGGAAGGATCAGCTGAAGGCACATTGCAAAGGTAACAGGGGTCAAATAACTAATATCCTTTGTAATCAGCTGAGGTTCTGGCCAAGTAAAAGTCCCAGATGAAGGCTTTGCTGTGTAACACTCAATTTAAATAAGACATGGGCAAGAGGAAGGTATCCCTGGCAATTGGTTTTGTATGCAAAAAAGCAGCTTGCCATCTTGGACACTTCTTTTCTGATCTGAACCTTCTTAAGTGCAGGAGGAAAATTCTTGGAATTGATTCCCTACATATTCATGATGATAGAGCTTTTTGTTTTGAGAAAGATGACTTCCTTACCACTGGAGAACAAAAAACAAGATAGAAGAAGATGGAGCAAATACAGTGATATGCAACTTAACAGCTTGAAAGAACTCTGCACATGGGAGACGAAGTACATTTTTACTCTTTCAAAGTACAGTTCTTGAAAGTAAGATCATCTACTTAGATGAGAGAAAAGAAGCTGATGAACCTCTAGATACCTGAATCTTTAGTTCTGAGTTAAGTTTTGAGCATTGCTACAATTTACTGGCTTGTAAATTATATGAGATTTACAAATAGTATTTCAGCAACCAGGAATACTACCACATGATGAAATTTCCTTAAAGCAAATAACAAATCCCTGGAGTTTTTGCTTTAGTTCTGATTTGGTCTATTGTGCCCAGCTACTGAATATTCCATCACAAGGCTTTTCCTTTTATAGGGCTGAGTGTGTTAAATTGTTTTCATAGGTGGATTTGCAGAAAAGGCTGAAATGATCCATGCTGGCAGTTGTCTGCCTGATACCACTGCCAGAAGTATTTCAGTAGTACAGGTAGTGGAAGGGATGTTTATCTGCCTTCTCAACTTTATATACTCTGCTATAGGAAAGCTATGTAAAATGTTTGGTTTATATTGGTACTTTGAACTATAACTGCGAGCAGAAGTTTGTTTGTCCGTGTTAAGGGCCTAACAGCCTCCAAAGGAAAGGACAGAGAGGAATTGGGAAGGGGTGGGAGGGGGGGTCTGTTGTTGTTATTGTTGGGCTGGGGGTTTTTGGGTGGTTTTTGGTAGTTCATTCTAGAGCTTCTTGACATTGTGGGTTAAAGCCAATGTTGAGCAATCCAGGATTATCTTCAACAGGAAATTCAACCAAGAAAAACAGTTTACTAATAGTTCATGTGATGTCAGTTCAGAAAATGGATTTAGTGTCTTGAACAATCAGTCCTATGGATACAGTTAAAAACATTCACATTTCCACAAAAAAAAAATCAGGTTTATGCTGCTGATTGGAAGTTTCTTCTCAGCATTGACTTTGCATCTTTAGGTCTTCACGGTACTATAAGTAGGCAGTTGTTTAAATGCTGGTATGCGTTAATCATACAGCATATCTTAATCTGTCTTTTGCTGTAGATGCATATCTTCTTTCAGAGATGCTTTTTTACTTTGTTGAAATATAGAGGTGTTATTTAAACCAATTAGGAGGAGTAGTGAGCGTTTAGTGTCTCTGTGTTCTCTCTTGCTGTATGTTACAAAGTCTTTTTCCAACTGCATCTCTTTCTCCCTATCATGTAAATAACATGTTTGAAGAGATAAGTGCTACAATACTCAAGCAATACAGACACCTGGTAATGCTCAGATAAGCTTAAACTGTGTTGTGTTGGATTCTAAAACATGAGCTGATCAAGATGCATCAGTAATTCCAAGTTCGAATTGTTAAACCCATGGTATGAATGAGAGGCTAAATCCACTGTGCAATGCAGTAGGCACTGAGTTACATTTAGGTCACGTGCTACTTTATATCCTCTGATGACCTACGTTTGCAGGTTTTGTCTCTTAATCTTTGGCATAGGTTTTGTCTTCTAATTAATGTGCTAAAAGACTTAAAAATATCATTCTTGGTCTTCCCCAGATGTTATTAAAGAAAAAGGATTAGAGCATGTTACTGTTGACGATTTGGTGGCAGAAATCACTCCCAAAGGCAGAGGTAAGAAAATGTAAACATGGATGTGTTAGGACATACAGATATGCCATTCTAAATGGGAAAAATATAGATGTGCTATATAAGAATCAAGTAGCTTCAGTTACTTTCAGGTATTAACAGAATTGCAAGAACAAAAAAAAAAATAGCTGTTGTGAAAGGTCGGTATTAGCGTATTTTTCCATGTTGTCCTGTTTTTTTACTTCTTGCTTTCTTATTTGTGTTTCAGCCTTGGTACCAGACAGTGTAAAGAAAGAACTCTTGCAAAGAATAAGAACCTTCCTTGCCCAGCATGCCAGTCTTTAACTTTGGCATTCACCTAGTATAGTGTTTCTGTATTAAGTCAGTCATGTAAGGATTGGAATGCAGTTTACATACTTAAGGATGACGAGCTGAAGTTCCTTTGCACTGCATTGATTTCTTAAACTTGGTGTTATTTTAATAAAAAAAATTGTGGATTTGTGGTTCTAAGGCTCTTCTCTGTGTCAGTGCACAGTGATACAGCATCACCTGTTCCTGGTTTTAATAAGCCATAATTTTATATGGTTGTGCAGAATTGCTCAAATTTAAAAGAAAAGAAGTGAGGTCAATAAGCGTATGAGGTAGAAATACAGAAGGGAGAAAGAAGTCTGTGGAAAATGGGATACGACATACTACTGAGCGTATCCTTTCTAATTTTCCCTGAGTAAGTAGCTGGACGGCATGAAGAAGTTAAGACTACATGAAAAAGTTGGTGGCATTCCTCCCAGTACTTCTTTGCTTTAGAGTGAGTGGTTTGAAGTCCACGATTTGTGTTGTAAGTAAGTATTCACACAGTAATTCATAAGAGGTTGAATTTTTCAAAGACAATTGTATCTCTTCACATTTACTTCAATTAGAGAGTCACTATTCTGATCCACAACTACTGTTTTCTAGCTTTGCCTGTGTTATTGGTAATTAAAAATTATGTTGATCTTTAGGGCCTTTTGAAATTTAATACAATCATTTGCCAACATTAAGTCTCTTTAAATTCTTTTATCGGTATCTGCAACATCAGCCAGCTCTATAAATGGCTGCAAAAATAAAGCTGATGAATAGAGAGAATTGGGAAAGGGGCTTTGAAGTGAGAACATTCAATTTTTGCCAGCTTCAATTTGAGGCCTCTGACAGATGATGAAGTGGAGGAGAAGCATGAGCAAAAACTGAGCAATTAGACACTGTCGTTACTTGGCCACTGTGAAAAGTTAATTGACTCAGTGTAAATCTCTATGCTCCTAATTACAAGAATACTCTCAAAACTGTCACTTAGAGTGGGGCTCAGGAAGTCGTGCCTGCTCCCATGGATTTGTGGATTTCATTCCTCAGTCATTGCTGCAAGCACTTCCCAAGGATCCTTCTGGGGGAACCAGTACCTCACGCATGGGGTGTACAATGCCTGTGCCTCCTGGTTCCTTGGCTGTGGATGAGGAAAATAATGTGCTCTGGTTCATAGCAAAGTGCTGGGTGCTCACTGGAAGGCAGGCTGTGGATGGGCTGAGCTCCCCCCTGCACAGGGATGGGACAGAACAGCAGTGCAGGGCTGTTGGTGCCAGGCTGCGAGTGTTCAGTTATTGTGTCTGCTCAGTCTGAGCTGGGCAACAGATGTGAGAGAAGAGTCCAGCAACAGCCGAAGGTGGTTATTGTTCCTCTGGCACTAGACAAAAGTCAGTCCAAACTGGGCAATACTGACTGTCAGTGAGTGGGACAAGACATAATCAGTCATGAACACCTTTTGTCTACACAAGACCAAGTTCCTGCTGAGACTGGAGCATGGAAGGAGCCAGAACTGGGATCTGTTGCAGGACAGATGCCCCTTCTGAGAACCTGTGCTGTGCTGTTTTAAAACTATCTTCCTGCCAGGTTGAGTGCATTTGCTGTATGTCATTGTCTTTGCTAAATAAAGGTGGATGTCAGAAAGAAGAAAATTCTTTCTTCCACTTAAAAATTCATTGTACTTTTAAAATGCTTATTTGCATTAATCCCATCCAGCAACTGAGCCCCGCACAGCCACTCACTCGCTCCCCTCGGTGAGATGTGGGAGAGAACCAGAAAGTTGAAAGTGAGAAACTCATGGGTTGATATAAAGGCAGTTTAACAGGTAAAGCACAAGCCCTACAATGCAAGCAAAGCAAAGCAAGGAATTCACTCACCGCTTCCCATGGGCAGGTAGGTGTTCAGCCATCTCCAGCAAAGCAGGGCTTCATCACGTGTAACAGTTACTTGGAAAGACATCATTCTGAACTTCCCCCCCGCCTCCTTCCCCCAGCTTTTCCTGCCGAGGATGACGCCATACAGTGTGGGATATCCCCTGGGTCAGCTGGGGTCAGCTGTCCCAGCTGTGTCCTCTCCCAACTCTATGTGCACCCATAGCCTACTTACTGGTGGGGTGGGGAGCAGAAAAGGTCTTGACTCTGTTAAGCACTGCTCAGCAGTAACTAAAGCGTCTCTGCATTATCAACACTGTTCTCAGCACAAATCTAAAACATACTAGCTTCTGTGGGAAAAAACCAACCATACCCCAGTCAACATCAGCACAGTATGTTAATTCAAAGTTTGACTTCTGCAACTTCATTTGCAATGGGTGTGTTCTGTTTGAATTGCATATATGTATATTTATTCTTAGGTCTTCATTCTATAATCAATTTACCCAATGCTAGTAACTGATGGAATACAGAATGTTTCTTCACACAATGTAGCAGAATATACGCTAGCTGAGCATATGTTTAATATTTGGCAAGGCTGCAAAATATCTTCTGTATCCTTACTCTTTTAGTCTTAGTGGTCTTTAATGATGTTCTTGGACACCTTGTACATGACTAAAAGTCTTTGCTTGTTGAAAGGCTGCAGTGTCATGGGCATACAGTAACTTGCTCCAGAGCTTCCACTTGATTTCTTTCATTGTGGTGGGAGAGGGCCAGACTTGAGGTATTCAGACACAGAAATGCGGAAGGCTTGTTGCCTGATTAGTAAACATTTGAGATTCCATCTAGAACATGACAGATGAAGTGCAGTTGCTGTAAGTGAAGTGTAGTTCTCCCCTGTGGGCAGCTCATGCTTGTCGCAGAATAAAGACCAAATGCTGTATGAATTTGCAGAAAGTTGTGGTGACCAATATGAAGTTAAAGGTTTGACAAATAGGTCTTTCACATGCTTACAAAAATAAGTTGTGAAGTTATGCCCAGACTGGCTTAAAATGCAAAAGCATAAAGAGACCCTGAAGGAACAGCAGAGTGACTGCGTTCCAGACACACAGCAGTGGCTCCTCTCCTAGGGTAACACAGGCTGCCCACTGATGTGAACATCCCAACACCACATGTTCCCACAGTTAACCACACCAGTGCAGCCCCCACTCAGAAGCTAGGCAAAAAGAATGTTTGACAACATGCAGATCCAAATTACACTGGTGTGGACTGGTAAGAGGCATCTTGATGGATCTTCTAAGACTAAAGTTAGATTTGGGGTGATATCAGAAATGGGAGATGGTTTCTAGAGGAATAAGTAAGTCCCCTTAGTGGCCTCATATTTTTGTTTTAACTGCAGATTTTATTCTCAGATGGACAGGGTAGCATTGTTTTGCAAACTGTTCTCTGAACAACTTCAGTTTCTACACATTTGGCTGAGTATTGAAAACAGTCATTAACATTCAGGATTCAGCCAGCACATTATTGTCCTGTTGAGGTTCTTTTCACACACTGAAATATATGATTATCTGTGCTGTTAAAGGTTCCATAGCTACAGCATGTACAGACACAGATAGATGCATTAACTACTTCTTCAAACTTTCAGCATTTTCAATGTCATGAAATACACCCATTCCTTACGAAAGCAGACAGCACCCAGAACTAGATAGCCAAGAAGAGACAGTTTAGGACTGATATGAATTACCTCAGCTGTGGGCAACTACTTCTTTTAGATGGTAGCCCTACATACACACTCTAGCAGCTGATTCAGCTTTTTCTTTTTGTAAACAAGCCTGTAAAAAATAGAATCTGTTTGTAAATTGATATTAAAATAATGGGTCAGTTAACAGCTGGGGTAAATTGGTATAGCTCTGGATGTGCACTAATCCAAACTGTATGTGACAGTGAATTGAATAGTCCTACTGCTGTCAATGAAAGACCAACAAAAAGAAGTTAGCTTAGCCTCCCCGTTTAGTCAGGCAGTGAGGTGTCTGAAATACACAATGAACTGGAACTGGTTAGATTCTAGTTTGTTTGATAACTATTTCCCCAGGAATACTTCTCCACGTTGACACAGTCCAGTCAAAAAACGTTATAATAACATCATCAAGAAATTCTGCTGGGATGTCAAACTTACACTCACATTTTAGATAGTTTTTCAATTGTTTGGGGGGGGCTGTGGGGAGTGGTTGGTGTTTTGTTTGTTTGGTTGTTGTTTGGGTTGGGTTTTTTTTCCTATTCTATTTTTCCCCATTCTTCTTCATCCTTGTTTACTGCCACAGTATTTCAGAACAGGCCTTTATCACTTGGAGAACAAGCGTCTGAAGTCTGTTGTAATCCAGCAATAGTCTGTCAGTGATATTAAAAAGTTACTGATGGCTCTCAGAGCTTCTGTCTGGAAGGTCCGTTGGGGTGACAGCTCTGCACTACCTAGCCCATGTCCTCATCTTTTAGTTCACATAATGGAATATGTTTGATTTTACTTGATCATGTGTCATGGTTTAAATAAAGTCAGCCATAAATTATGCAGTCGCTCTCTCACTCCCCTCCCCCCCCCCCCTTCTTTCCCCCCACTCCCAGAGGGATGGGGAGGAGAATCAAAAAAAATGTAATACCCACAGGTTGAGATAAGAACAGTTTAGTTACTAAGGTATAACACAAATCACTGCTGCTACCACCAATAATAATAATAATGAAAAAGGAAATAACAAGGGAAGAGAATACAATACCACCCGCCGACCGATAATACCCAGCCCGATCGAGCACCAACAGATACGTAGTTCTGCCCCACGGTGAAATAGCCCTTCCGGGTAACTCCCAGTTACATCCCGGCATGACATGCTGTGCTATGGAATACCTCTTTGGCTAGTTTGGGTCAGGTGTCCTGTCTCTGCTTCCTCCCGGCTTCCCCTCTTCTCTGGCAGAGCGTGAGCCTCACAAAGTCCTTTGTCAGACTAAACATTTGAGCAGTAACTGAAAACATCGGTGTTATCAGCGCTGTCCCCAGGCCAAAAGTCAAAAACACAGCGCTGCACAAGCTACTAAGAAAGAGAAAAAATGACTGCTACTGCTAAACCCAGGACATTGTGGCACCTTGATAGTTTGGCTTTAACTTACTTAGTGATTGAGCTTTTATGGGAGCAATGGAAAATATCCAATGCTTTTACCTGCTGGCTTTCTTTAAATTTCTAAATATTTGCAATTGAAATCAGAATTGTATTCTACTTGGCCTGTTTTTCTCAAGCTATTAATTTTTAAAAGAAACAGCTGTGGCTGCAGAGCCAAATTTGTAATGGCTGGAGCCCAAAATGAGGAAAAATGAATTCCTCATAAAAAATGTATACTTAACCACTTTAGTGTAATGAATTAGTTAATTAGCATTCTGCTTGGAATGAGAAAAAGCCTAATCCCACTTTAGTGTATCTCCCATTTATGACGATGCTTTCCACCTGAACAGTATTATTCTTAAATGCTTACCTTAAAACTAGTGAAGTAGTTAGAAGTAGAGCATAAAAAATACCCCCTCAGAAATTCATGCTGATTTCTGTTAGTTGGAGTTGCTAGGAAAGCAGTTATCCATTCTTTCAGTCGTTGATCCTGAGCTAACATACTGAGTTGCTGCTGCTAAAATCTGCATCTGGCAGCCTGCAGGTGAACACTGACAAGGGCAGAGCAACTTGGCCTCTCTTGTCGGCTGGCTCCCAACAACAGCCTAGGTACAAAGTCAGCACTGCATTGAGTTTTTACATCTGGTGCAGAGGGCAAAAGCAATATTTAATTTCCTGGAAGCAATGACACTTACTAAAAGGAAAGTTGATAGAAGATATGGGTTGTGATGCGTCAGAACCTCCTCAGGGAGAAAACAGGAAACATAGGGCACTTTAACAGAGAAAGGCGCAGAATCATAGAATGATTGGGGTTGGAAAGCACCTTAAAGCTCATCCAGTTCCAACCCCCTGCCATGTGCAGGGACATCTTCCTCAAGACCAGGTTGCTCAAAGCTCCATCCAACCTGGCACTGAAAAAAAAGCTTCAAGAGGAAAAGGGACATAAAGAGCAGACAAAAATAGAAGTCAGACAAATTCAAATTTAAAACAAGATGACACTTGTAAAAGCACAGCTGCTTAATCACTGGAACAAGCTATGAAGAAATATGGTGGATCCTTCAACACTTTCCTGAGTACAAGATGCCTTTCTGGAAGAGCTGCATTATTTGCCTATGAGTGTTCCCTAGAGCTGGCAGCAGCAGCTCAGTTTCTTCCAGCTGAGAAAGGTAAAACCATGATAAATACTCCACGTTTATACTTCTGCTCGCTTGTGAAAGAAAGAGAGGCATCCCCCAGAATGTAAGGTCCAGAGCAGCTTGCTGATTTGTAAAAGTCCTCTGCTAACTCCTGTTCCAGAAAAGCTCAGCAGCATCTCAAATGCTATTTTCTAACACTTTCCAAGGTGAACCTTCTAGTGAACTTGCCATAGAGAGAAATGCTGCTTCAAGCAGTAGCTGTTAGCCCCAGTACAGGTATAACTGGCTGGAATGCAGTTCCTTAGAATCGATGACAGTAGTTACAGCAGCAGTTAAGAATGACAAAAATCTTTTCTTTGTAACTTGCACTGAAAAATGTGCCTGTCTAGCTAATCTGTTAACTTTTCCATGTGCATTTCACTGAGATAAGTTTCTGCCCAAATCCCAGATCCGTTTGGTAATACTTGAGTAGTTCAGATTAAATTTCAAAATACCCATTGATATATTTTTTGCAAGGAGAAGTGTTTCATCAAATAGTCAATGGGGAGGACTGTTCTTCCTCTGCTGAGTGAAGATTGGAAAGACTACTGTGCTTGGTTTCTGCCTACTGACTGCTGCAATGATAAAGATGACTTAAAATGTTTCCTTGCTACCATGACGTAAAGAGGAAAACTGGATAACAAATTAAATTTATTTCACTTCCTCATTTCCCTTCTTTGACTGCTGTCTCTTCTAAACTGTATATATGAGATTATGCAGTTATATTCAAAACCAGCTGTTGAATTTCCCCCCCACAAAAACTGGGATCTAGATGTCCCGATCCAAATTTTACTGAGACAGTGAAGTTAGTCTGAAGCTGGGATTGATTTTAGTCAGATTTTGGGAGCTCAACACTTCCAACAGCAACTTGGGTTTGGCACATAGGTGCTCAGACAAGAACTTGAGTTTTGAAGTTTTTGAGTTATAATATAGGTCTTTGTTGCTGCATTGATTTGTTTTAAAATGGAGAAAAGGAGTCATGATTAATTTTTTTTTCTATTAGTTTCCCAACTTTGGAATAATTCTTTTAGAAAATTCTTCTAGAAATGAGATTATTAGAATTGGCAAAGAGCATGGAAAAAAGAAATGAAATACACATTTTACCAATAGATAGAAATTCTTCTAACAAATGATGAAGCATGAAGACACATGATTTCATGATTCTCATCCCTCCTCCAACAAACTCCAGATAGAAAATCCTTTGCTTTCCTAAATGCATTTCCAAACAAAAGTTCATGACTATTTCCATGCTATGCACTCTCTCTCCTATTTCCCTAAATGCAAACCATACACATGCACATGCAAGCATATCCATGTAGATAACTATTTTTGTAAAGCAACATGCTAAATACTCAGGTATTTTGAACTCAAAAATTCTAACACTATGCCTAGGATCTGTCTTCTAATAACTTGAACTTAGAGCTTCCAAAAGGATTACTTGGGATGTGTGGGCCGTGCACCTTTTCACAATTTCAAATATATTTTTTTTACATATTATATGCTTACTAAAAGTCAGGTTTTTTATTTTTTCTACAAAGGTCTCTCACCAGGATCACCAGTCTGGAAATTACCTCTACAAGGCATTTCAAGCCTTAACATGCATGAGGGAAGGAATTTAAGGTACACTGGCAGAGGCAGTGGAGAGTAGAGCTTCAGCATGGAAACCTTTTAGAGAGAAAAGAGGCTGTCATGACTCTTGCCTACTTACTTGGGAAAGGGGCAGATTTTCATACATGCTAGGATACACATTTGCCTAAACTTAGGCAAACTCTTAGACAATACTTAGACTTTACCAAAAACAGGTGCTCAGTAATGCTACAAAAGAATGGAAAATATGTCTCTCATCTAGGATTTCAAGACAGTTAACGATGAAATTTCAAAAAGCAGAATATGAATTTGTAGCAGCGGTACAGAAATCTACTTGCAAATTTTATAGTAAAAGCCTGCAATTTTTCTGTGGTTGAAACTGTGAAAACTCTTAACTTTGGCCAGAATCAAACACTTGTCCAGGGTAAAATCTCTTCTGCAAATGTAAAACTCCAGTTACTGCACAATTCAACAGGACTGTAACTCAGGGAAGGCACCCTTAGATAAAAAAGTTATTTGTAGCTTTAACAAGTGACTGAACAGTGAGAGAGCACACGAGCAAATGAAGCACAGATATTGGAGGAATTCATAGAATCATAGAATAGTTAGGGTTGGAAAGGACCTTAAGATCATCAAGTTCCAACCCCCTTGCCATGGGCAGGGACACCTCACACTCAACCTCAAACTAAACCTTACCCAAGGCCTCGTCCAGCCTGGTCTTGAACACTGCCAGGGATGGAGCATTCACAACCTCCCTGGGCAACCTGTTCCAGTGCCTCACCACTATCACAGGAAAGAATTTCTTCCTTATATCCAATCTTTCATATTGAAAGGGAAACTGTATCCTTTTTGTGTTTGGAAATGGACATACTAAATAGAAACACAGATGGCATCTATCCAGTGGCTGTGGAACCATGGAGTGATGGAAACTGCTTTGCATGTAAAGAACTGACACTAGCAAACTTGCAAATTGTCAGGTGATATCACATGTATGTTTAATCCTTAGTATCTGTAAAAGAAAAGCATTAATTAAAAAAAAAATGTAATTCCCTAACAAATTTTATTAGTTTACTGTAGCAGTACTACATGTGCTGTGGCAACGAAATATCTAGGATTTAAGACCATCTCTTTGGCATAAATCAGGTTAAAAACTTAAGAGCTAAGAGTTGATGGCATTTTTTAACCGGGAAGTATTTATCCCTGCAAACATTTATTTTGAAATAATGTTTATATTATTCCCAAATTTGAAGTTGCATAATTATGTTTTCTATGAAAACAGCTATTCTCCATGTGTGGTCTGTCAATTTTCAGATTTTTTTCCCATTAACACATCAGACACACACAGGTCTGCTGTGCAGTCAGGGCGATAGGGTGGGCGAGCCACTCTAGCAGTTTTTGTATTAAGTGTGGGTGTTTATATACATATTTTAAAGCATTTCGTTCTCACTGTGGCATATTCCCTATTGAGTATATAGACTGTAATGCCAAAGCGAGTGTGTTCTTAAAGGAAATGTCTCTGGCTATCTTCACAATCTGATGTCTCTGGCTATATTCACAATCTGATCTCTCCCATTGTGCCATGCTTTTTTGAGTGAATGCAGATGAAGATTATTTTCCAGTTTCTGCTTTAGACAGAACGCTGTCCTGAAAGGTTTAACTCTTTATTACACAAATGGTTTTGAAATAATGCTTAAAATTAAAACCAGCATTACATATATTGAGTTTCTCTTACTGAATGCAGGTTTTGCAGGCACATCAGTCCCCACCTGAGCAACACTGCACGATTGTTGCCCTTCAGCTCAGCCACTGCTGTGCCCTGACTGCTATGGACCCTATTGATCCTGGACTCCCTAGCTTGTCCTCAGACCTGCCTTATCACCAGAAAACCACCTGTTGGTCTGGACCCTGAGCTGCCGCCAGCCTGCCTTGCTGAGGTCCTGGTTGGAGAGGCCCCTGCCCTGCCACCAGCCATGTCATGCTTGGTTCCTTGTCCCTCTGGCCCCTGCTTCTGGATGAAGAGCTGTGGAATGCACTTACAGTTCCTGCTGGGACGCAAGAAGAAGGAAACGAATCCTGTTCCGTCCTCCCAACAAGAACCATCCTCCTAGCACCCACCTCCTCACTGCCTGAGCCAACAGTACAGGAGACAGCAGTTAGGAGGTTAGCTACACAGCAGGAAGTCTGTAAGTGAAGGCAGCTAAGGAGAGCAGAACTGAGCAGAGAAAGAACTCGGCGGTATGATTTGAAGGGGGGCTGAATCAGAGCTGCCTTGCAAGTTGACTAGGCCTCCCAGTGAGCAGGGATTGCATTGTCAAATGTCCAGGCACACACAGAGCTCTGGAAAAATCACGTTACTGAACATCTCCCTCCTCTTTTCTGCACATCATCAGGGAATGAATAAACTGTGCCCGGAGGCCAGCCAGTTCACACACACACAAGTCCTTCTTGGGGCATCTGGATGAACAAAGGAGACACTGGCAAGGCCCCAGGACCCACCGCCAGCTGAGGCTACACCCTCAGCTACTGCAGACTCTTTATTACTTTTTAGCAGTTTTCAAATGTACAGCTCAGCATCTAGCCAACCACAGCTGGGCTACCTTTACAACCACCGATGTAGCACCCTGATTTATTAAAGACCAATGCTTTTTATCGCAGCTCCCCAAGCTGACAAGACGCCTCTCGAACTCCCGCGGGGCGAGGCAGCAGCCGTGCCGCGCGCAGCAGAACGGGCTGGGGCAGGGGGCGCGAACTGCCAGCGGTCGGTCCCTCCGTAGAGGTCTCGCCAGCTCCTCAGCAGCCGCCCGCTCCGTCACTGCCGGCACAGCCGCCCCCCTGCGGAAGCCATGGCGGCGGGAGGGAGCAGGAGGGCGGGTCAGTGGCGCGCTGGGAAGGGGCGCGGCCGGAAGAGGCGGGCTCATCGCCCGGGTGACCGGAGGCTGACATGGCGGTGCGGGAGGCGGCAGCACGCACCGAGCTTTGAATGAGGGGCGTCCGGCTAGGGCGCAGGCTGCGGGAGCGGCCCCCCGCGCTCCCCGCCCCCCGAAGCGCCTTTCCGCGACAGGCAGGTGAGTGGCGGCCCGCGTCCTTCTCCTGCAGGTGCACCGTTTCCGCCTCGCTTCGCCTTTCCGCGGCGCGGCTAGGTAGGGGGCCCGGTCTCGGTCTTTTCCCGCCTTAGGGCAGGCCGTCGCTGTTCTTCCCCAGAAGCGCTCCACCCCGTTCCCCTGCGTGCTCGGGACGCCGCGTGGCCGCCGGCGCACCTGCGCCCCATGGGCCTCGCCCGCCGGCAGGCCTGCCCGGGGGCACGGGGCCCGC